ACACACGTTGATGGTCGTGGTGATACACTGTGGAATTGAGAAGTGTGTGTGTGTGTGTGTGTGTGTGTGTGTGTGTGTGTGTGTGTGTGTGTGTGTGTGTGTGTGTGTGTGTGTGTGTGTGTGTGTGTAAACATGCGTGAGAGGCTTGAATGGAAGCGCTGCATGCGCGTGTAAGCGCCAACAGCTTGCCCCTTCCAAAACACACTCACTCATGCACACCATGCACATGCACACACACACACACACACGCGTGTCAGTAGAGACAACGCTTACCGTGAGTGGCAGCTCGTCGAAGCGAGTGTCTCCGTAGTACTGGAGGCGGAGGGCGTTGTCTGAGGCGCGAAACGAATACTCCAGCGTTGATGGGTCACCAATGCTTCATTGGCATGACATGACGCAAGCAACACCACACGGGTCACAATAAATGAGCAAGCCTCTCATCAGCACGCATCAGCGGAAGCAGGTAATGATACAGGAAACGAAGGAAGGTGTGGGAAGACGAGTGGAACATGGCACACACTTAATGCACACACTCAACGCACACATGAACACACACCCAAACATACACGCATAACGCATGCACACACATGCACATAATCACACAATCACACAATCACACGCAACAGTGGACTGCTCACTCTGCATTGGAGAAAGCCCTGACAACAGAGACGTCACGCAGCTCGCGATAGTGGCAGGCGGCGGATGTGTTGGTGTTGCCGCAGGGCAGGTCAAAACACGGGTTAACGCTAATATGTCGGGGCGAAGCAGGAGGAGGGAGTTGGGTGTCGTGATGGGGGTAGTGGCGGCGGTGGTGATGATGATGATGATGATGATGATGATGATGATGATGATGATGATGATGATGATGATGATGATGATGATGATGATGATGATGATGATGATGATGATGATGATGATGATGATGATGATGATGATGATGATGATGATGATGATGATGATGATGGTGGTGGTGGTGGTGGTGGTGGTGGTGGTGGTGGTGGTGTGAGGACAGAAAAAGTTTCCATGATGCAGACGAAACGTGGAAAGGCGATGAGGCGCACAATGTGAGCAAACGAGACAGAAAGGAACCGCACAATGCTGTTGCGAACAAGGCACGCTCCTCAAACCAAGCACAGGCGTTCTGAACGCATATACGCGTGTGCGTTCACTCACCGGAACAAGTTGTCACATCGATCCTGCCGGTCACATCCTTGTGGGAGACCAGCGACGCCCTGATCAGGCCTGGCACACCGCCCGGGCGGCACGCGACATGAAGCGTCATACAGTGCAGAAGGGTGACCGTGGAGGTGGCGATTATACAGTGTCGATGACGGGCATTTGAACCGCAGCTCTCACACCCCAGCAGCAGATGCAGGTGCGAACGACGGCACAACAGGACACAGCACCGGGTACAAGGTACAAGGTCTCCTCTGAGGGAGCTTGCGAGTTCGTGATCACTCACCGGTTGTAGATGCCAGATGCCAGAGCAAGACTGAACGAAGATGTGGCAGTTCAGGGGTGGATCACACACACACACACACACACACACATCACAAGGTATTGCAGTGGTATCAGTGCATGCACAGCGTTAATGCCGAACTTGTGCGCCCATACCAAATTCAGCGTCAAGCACAGCAAACAAACACACCGAGCACACCGGGCACAGAGCAGCAGAACGAAATGAGAAACGCACTTGATTTGCTTTGAGCGGTTGTTTGCATGGGCGAAGACACAGTTTGCGGGCTCATCGAAGCGATTCAGCCGCACGGCAGGGCGCACGGCCTCGGCTTCTGTACACACACACACACACACACACACACACACACACACACACACACACACACACACACACACACGCACGCACGCACACATGCACACACACCACACACGCGCGCGCGCAGCGTGGGAATCAAAGGATGGTGAGCAAGGGGCGTGAAGGCCTCCACCACACAGTAACCGCTTTGCAAATGCACGCAAACACAAGTCACACTGCACATCAAGAAACCACAAAAACGCCAGTGCTTGCACATGGGCAGCGCCGAGTGACCATTGCAGAGACACAACAGCGCACCATCTGGAAAGAACGCGGCCCAAAGGAATGCTTGGATGTTTTCGCACGACGCCGCCTTGCCGACAGCGAGAGCCATGGATTGGGTCAACCCCAGCAACAACCGCACATTCTGGGATGATATCGATGGCTATATTCAGAGAAGACAAGGCAGAGAGCAAGACAATCATGAGTAGGAGGACCAAATACGAGACCAAAGCGCAGTTCACAACAGTGCTCATGTGCGCATATATTTGTGTCTGTCTATGTCTGAATGTGTCCGCGTGAATATATGTCTGCTTGTGGGTGTCTATGTGAGCGTGGGACATCTGCGTGTGCGTGCGTACGAGTGTGGGCACATCTGCATGTGTCTGTTTCGTGGTCTGTGTGTGGCCATTCCAAGCAATGTCAAGACCACGTCGAACCTTGTCGGAGGTGGCGTTCACGAGGCATCCTGAGAACCTGGTCACCTCCAAGCACACATTTGGTATTGCTAACACGTCGTGCGTATGTGCGTGAAGTGTGTGTGTGTGTGTGCGTGAAGTGTGTGTGAGTGCGTGCGTATGTGCGTGTGTGCGTCAAGTGTGTGTGTGTGTGTAAGGGTGTGTGTCAAGAGTGTGTGTGTGTGAGCGTGCACATCAACAATGTGATTCTAACGTGCTCATGACATACGACACGCATCGATGCAGGCACGCGCTGCTATCGCACCTCCTCCTTGAAGAAAGTTGTTGAAGTCGTCCTGGTACTCTGTGACGCAGGCAAGCAGCTCTCTCACGACTTCATCCGTGCCAGCAGTACCTGCGCCGTCAACACATCATCGTCAACACAGTATAAACGCCACTGTAACGTGCGACAACAACAACACTTGACATGAAACGCGCACAGCGTGCACACAGCTTGCAACAGGTCTCGTGTGGTGGCACTGCACCCATTTGTCAAGCATCGCTGGAACCACAACACACTCAAAAATCGTACCTTGTGCGGCCACGCCTCTGATTCCGCCCCAAGGGATCCCTCCTCCACTCAAGCTCAACAGCGTGAGGCACAGCACCACAACACCCGCCACCATGTTCACTCGTCGCATGATGATGATGCTGTGAGGAGTCGGCGAGCACAGTCTTGATTCACGCCCTGTCCACGACAGTATGAAAATATCTAATGATAACATGGGCTAATTTTCTACAATGGCTTCGCTGACACAACGGTGCTCCGTTGACACGCCAAGCACGATGACGATGACGATGAAATGAGACTACACAGGACAGCCAAGAAGCAAAACGCGCCGGCTGACCGCCCTGCTCTTCTTTGCTCTGCTTTGCTCTGCTGCATTGACGACCACAACCAGCCAACGCAGCTGCCCACCACAGCAGACAGAGATAATCGAGGGAAGGCGCACATTCTCAAACAACAGTGCACTACGACGACAGATCAAGTGAGCGAGCGAGGGGCGAAAGAACCAACGACAAACACACACACACACACACACACACACACACACACACACACACACACACACACACACACACACACACACACACACACACACACACACACACACACACACACACACACACACACGCTCGCACACGCTCGCACACACGCTCGCACACCCAACAAGCAGTCGAACAACATGTTCCGCGTTCGCCTTGGTGGCCAACACTCGCATGTGGCAGCGCAGAACAAGAAGCACAGTGGCTCGCAACGCGGTTCGCACAACGCTGATGCCCTGAGCAAGGTGAGGGAGAACCTCCCCGCCGACGATCAGCCGCCGTTGGCTCCGCCCGCGCCTCGCGTTGAGGGCGTTACAAAGGACACAGCTCTTCTTGGGTGGATGCCTGTGCGTCAGAACGTTTCTCGCCTCGTCATCCAGGCCTTGCCACTCAAGAAGCCCACTTCCAAAGGTCCGCATGTGTCTGTGTCTGTGTGTGTGTGTGCGTGTGAGTGTATGTGTGCCTGTCTGTGTGTGTGTGTGTGAGTGAGTGTTTGTCTGTGTGCGTGTGTATACGTGTGTCTGTGACTGTGTCCGCGTCCGCGTCTGTCTGTGTTTGTCTGCTTGTGTCTGTGTATTATTTCCATGTTACTGACGGGCAAATGCCATGGAAGTTGCATGGCGAACCCTTGCCCCCCCCCCTCACCCGCAACACATATGTGACACACCCCGTTTCTCTGTGTCTCTTGATGGTACTTCCTTTCTTTCTTTCTTTTTTTTTTTGGCATCTTCAGTCGCGTGGAAGCACTTCAACCTGAAGAAGGGCGTCGGACATCAAGTCGTCATTTCAAGGGATGCAGACAAGGTCAACTCAGGGATCGTCTCAGGTACACGCAACCCTCCCGTTGGCGCAAGCTCAGGTGCACACGCTCATGCATGCACGCGAATCACACAACTCACCTGTGCCCCACATACCAACAACAACAACAACAACAACAACAACGACGACGACGACGACGACGACGACAGGGCTGCAGCCAGGTAGCTACTATGTGTTTCGGCTGATTATCTCCAACCTGCGCGGCGCTACGGAGGGCGAGACATCTGCCCCTGCACAAACCTCACGTGAAGGTGCGTACTGAGGCGGGAGTGGGGGATTTTAATATGTGGCACGCACTGCGACAACGCGCTGGTGGTTGCTATTGGTGGGTGAAAGGCATGCATACAGACACACACACATACACCCAGTCACTGACACTACACACACACACATGCCACTCACACCACTTACGCAACATCGTCCACACTCACTCACTCACACTCTCACTCACGCACACTCACTCACCCACCCTTCACACACGCTCACTCACCCACCCTTCACACACAACACACTCCGCCGCGCTGTGACATAGTTGGAAAAGAGCACGAATCGCACAAGAGCGGGACGCTGTTCCGCCACCGCCGCCGCCGCTCAACCTATTCGCAGCCGCAAGACAGCGTGCGCAAGCCAAGTGGTGTGAAGCACGCATCCATCCTCGAGAGCCATGGTAGCAGCAGCAACAACAATGATGCCAACACCGCCACAGCACCAACGATAACACCAACAGCAACAGCAGCTACGGCAGCAGAGGGCGAGTTTACGCAGGCGTACGACAACAAGCGCGCCACAACACCCACTACGCTGGTTGATCCAGGCCCAGCACCAGCACCGCCAAGCAGCGGCAGCATTGCCGACACCACAGCCCATGCCACCGCCACACATGCCAGCACGACCACACCCGACAGCAACGGCAACGCGAGCGCTGAGCACATCGCACAAGCAGCTCACGGCCACGACCACAACACTGACGATGGCGACGACGCGCTGGTGCTGGAGGCGCCTGCTGCTCGCGGCGACCAGCACAGCAGCACCACTGGCAGTGCGACGGCGACAGAAGGAACTGGTGTTGGCAAAGCCGTTCCCAAGAGCATTGCCGCGCGTCTGGCGGTGACAGCAGCGACTGTCGGCAGCAGTGGAGGTGGACTGGACATCAACAAGCTCGAGTCGAGGCTGGAGCAGAAGGAGAAGCAGCGAAAGCAGGCCACGCGTCTGTTCAAGGCAGAGGACAAGGACACCGTCGGCAAGAGCAAGATCTACCAGGCACTCAACCCGCAGAAGTTGTGGTTTGAGAGCCGGCGCGAACGAGAGGAAAAGGAGGAGGACGCGGTGCGCGTGGACGTGCGTGCATGTGCCGTTGGCGGCGTGTATGCGGACGATGATGGCCGCGCGTGCGTGGCTGCCGTGAGCTATGCGCGCGTGTATGATGACAACGGCGATGTGATTGCTGTCGACGACGACGATGATGACGATGACGATGACGAAGAAGAGGAGGACTATGATCCAGACAACTTGGTACGGCTTCACTCTTGTGTGTGTATGTGTGTGTGGTGTGTGGGGTGTGGGTGTGTGTGTGGGTGTGTGTGTATGGGTGTGTGTGTGTGGGTGTGCTTATGTGTGTGTGTGCGTTCTTCAGGCATGCTGTGGATTTGGTCAATGCTCAAGGCCCCAGGCAGCCCACATCCTCATCGCACACCTCGACTGTATCTGCCATTCACATTCGCTCATGACCTGCACTGCCTCATGTTTTGCATAACATGCATGTGTGTCTGGGTGCAGCCTGACTTTGGCGAGTACCAGAAGGAGATGGATGAGATGCGGGCGCGACGAGCAGCAGCGCAAGAGGCCCGCCGAAAGAAGGTCAGAACGAATGCTTGCAGGCACGTCAACATACTGACGCATGTGTGTGTGTGTGTGTGTAGGTGGTACTCTTCTGCACTCGTCGCCACCTCTCAACGCCCAATTTGCTTCCCTGTGTCCTGCACGCTGTACATGTGTGTGTGTGTGTGTGCAGATGCAGGAGGAGTGGGCGGCGAAGAAGGCGGCAGAGGCGGCGGCGCTGCAGCGGGAAATTGACGCAATCCGACAGCGCGAGGCCGAAATCACAAAGAAGGAGGAGGTCACGGGTGAGAGAACTAACGTCGTGCACTGGAGGGTCGCAGTTGGCATTATCCAACGCATTGAGCTGATTCACATTGTGATGCACATGCGATGAATGACCTGACCTACACTGCTCATAGTCCTTCCACACATCAACACACACGCACACACGCACGAACACACGCACGAACACACGCACACACACGCGCACGCACACATGTACATCGTCCACGTCCCTCACTGCCCTGCCCTGCTCTGCCTTTCATGTGCATGTGTTTGCAGACGACGACGTGCGCGTTGCGCAGGAGCGCGTGGCAGAGGCGGCCGCATTCCTTTCCGGATTCACATTCAACTGATCCATGCTTTGGTCGTGTTGTGGATTCAGAGATGGAGGGGGGCGGGCGTTTTGTGTGCATATGAGTCTGATGTGACAGTGGCCAACATCTTCATGTTCCTGACCTGCGGCACGCTTTTCCGCTTAACTGCTGCAAACACACACACACACACACACACACACACACACACACACACACACACACACACACGCACGCACGCACGATGGTTTGCGCTGTCGTTACAACTTGCAACTTGCATGTTAAACTGGCTTGGACTCATGGCAATATGTTTGGTTCATTCATTCAGCATACACAAGGAAGAAAAGGGCTGTGAAAGCCAATCAGACACAAAGCAAAGACAAGTGCGTACTGATCACACAATGGCTCAAACGAACAGGAATGCCTGTTTTCGTCTCTTGTGTGACAGCGCGACCAGCATTGAAAACACGCCATACAACAAACCCGACACACGCGCCCGCCACACAATTGCGTGTGTTTCACTGTCACACACATCAAACACCACACCTCGCATTTCACATGTCACATGCCACATCACCCATATCATCCCCGTCGCATGACTCTCTCCATCACTGTGTCTTCTTGTCCTCGTCAATGCTGTCCATATCTGGTCCCGGCGCACAGGGGATGAGGCGTGATGTGGTCTGCTGGTAGCGCGCATACGCAGGGTACTGGCATTGTTGTTGTTGTTGTTGTTGTTTAAGTTGTTGTTGTTGTTGTTGTTGTTGTTGTTGTTGTTGTTGTTTAAGTTGTTGTTGTTGTTGTTTAAGTTGTTGTTGTTGTTGTTGTTGTTGTTGTTGTTGTTGTTGTTGTTTAAGTTGTTGTTGTTGTTGTTGTTGTTGTTGTTGTTGTTGTTGTTGTTGTTGTTTAAGTTGTTGTTGTTGTTGTCGTCGTCGTCGTTGTCGTCGGGGGGGGGATGGTGGGGAAGCCGTGGTTTGGAGTGAAAGGGTGTCAGGTGAGCAAGGCGTGCATTCAATGCTTCACGCGGCAGCAGCACACATTTGCGCATGAAGGTGCGCGCGCACAGGTTCTCCCCGCCCTCGCTAAAACCAAAGCAAGCCGACTGTCACTGCGCACCTTTGCGAGGGAGAGTTCTTCTGTAAACTGGGTGGAGCCCTGGAAGAGGAGGGAGAGGACAAGAGGGCCGACGACGGCCCAGCCGAGCACCTGCCCAGACACACCGACAGCAAACAAGTAGAAGCTCCACCACAGACACTAACACGTGCAATGGTCAAGAGACAACATGTGTGAGCATGCGAGTGTGTGTATGTGTCTGCGTACGTGTATCTGCGTACGTGTGTGCCTTTAAAAAAGAAGCAATTACAAAACAAACTAACGGTTCAAATGCGTTCAACGTGCTTCAAGTCCACGCACGGAGCACACGACCACACACGCACACACACACACACAACACACACAACACACACACACACACACAACACACACAACACACCCGCTGTCTCGCACCTGCTCTGCGAAGAAGTTTGGGTGCCTGCTGTATCTGAAGAGGCCGCGCGTGAGAAAACCGCGGGCGAAATCGCCGGTCCGCTCCTGCGGCTGCATGGCGTGCTTTCGCGTCTGGAACGCCTGCACACACACGAACATGAACATATGCGCACACACACACACACACACACACGCACGTCCCGCAGTATGCAACAACACACACATCACACAGCGTGCAATCACACACGCGCGCACATCACACACATCACACATAAGTACATGCATGAGCACAGGCACGTTCTGATGCAGCCAAATACTCCTGCATACGTGTACCTCCACGCGCATTCAACATCCCAGCTGGAGAAAGAAAGTACATTTACGTCAATCAAGGCACACACAACGACTGCAAGTGACGTTGTAGCTCTGGTGTGACGCACCCACTGCTGCTCGTCGCTGATGGTTTCGATGAGGAAGAAGACGAAGAAGAGAACGGCTGCGGCCATGTCAACTAGAGTCAGGTCGGTGCCGCGGCCAAGATACGCCACGTAGGACGAAGACACAAACATGAGCAGGAGGTAGTGCTGGAAGATGCTGATGAAGAAGACGTTGAAGACCTGGAACGCCAGTGGCGGCATGCGCTTGCGCAGCTCTGGCCAGCGGTAGTCCTCGTGCCCAAGCTTGTACCCGCCTGACGCACATGCCAGCAGGGGAGGAGGGCAGGGAGAGAGAGATAGTGTGTGTGTGTGTATGCACGTGTGAAAGAGAGAGAGAGTGTGTGTGTGTGTGTGTGTGAGAGAGAGTGAGAGAGATGGATGGATGGAGGAAAGTGGAAGGAGAGGCATTGGAGGGTAAGGGGAGGGTGCAGTGGAAGCAAGGGCAAGCGAGGGTGGGTTGGAATAGAGCAATGTCGCTCGTTGCGGAAACACAAGACAGCAACTAAATTCACACGTTGTTCACACACGTTTATCCACACACATACACACACACAGATACACGCACACACACAGATACACACACACATGAACACATGGCGATAGCGACGGTGTTGTGGCATCTCGCATCAAGAAAGAAACGCACCTTTGCGGGCAAAGTTGTAGGTGAGGCGAACCGACCAGAGCGTAGCCAGGCTTGCCATGATCACGAGACGCGAGTCGTAGTCTGAGCGAACAGCAAAGTGCCATGTGTACAGACCAGGCCAAAGGGACCACATGCGGTCCACCCAGCTGTAGTCGCCCGTCAAGGGACCTATGGATGCGAACGTGGCAGAGAGAAACCAATATTGACCATGTCACCTCAAACAGCAAAGTACTCACACAGGGGCATGTGCAGCATCCAAAACGAAACCCCCCCCCCGGCCGCACCCATGCACCAGTGCACGCGCACCCGCACACACGCACACACGCAGGCACGCACACACCCACACCCACACGCACACGCACACGCACATGCACACGCACACACCCACACACCCACACACCCACACACGTGCACACCCACACACACGCACGCACGCACGCACGCACGCACGCACGCACGCACGCACGCACACACACGCACACCTGCAATGATGCAGAAGAGAGCAGACGCCATGAAGCCAACCACAGCCACAGCCATTGCATCCGAGTTCCAGTACAAGTCCACCAGTCCATCCACACTGATATCGTGTGTGCGCGGTGGGCGTGAGAGTGGGTGTGGAAGCGTTTGAAGCAAGTCGTTGTGCCGAAACAGCACAGCAACACAAACAGAACACAACACAACAGAACAACAAAACCACCCACACTTGCGCCCCCCCCCCCACACACACACACTCACTCCGTGATGGTGTTGTAGATGGAACACAGTAGCGGCAAAGCAGCGCGGTGCGCCTCAACGGCATGGTTCAAGGCAGCAGCCTTCACCTCACTGCCCACCACCTCCATCTCCAGCACTTGCTCCACCAACGCGTTCATCCCTCAAGCCACTGGCGCTGTGTGTGTTGGTGGTGTTCAGGAAGTTTGGTTGGTGGCAGCAACAGCAGCTGGGAAAATTGTGTGAAAATGTTCGCTATTCCTCCACAATCAATGGGCTGCGGGGGAGTGTGCGAACCCACCACCAAGCACAAGCAAGCAAGTCAGGTCAAGACTTGTCGCCAAACATGCAAGCGCCCACCGCTTCTGCTGCTGCTTGGTCGTCATCGTTGGCTTCTGCTGGCGACCACAGCCAGCAGCAACAGCACCAGCAACAGCACCAGCAAATGGGAGAGCAAGCTCAATACTTTCACTACCAGCAACAGCAGCAGCAGCAGTACGCGCAATATTCACAACAGCAGCATTCACAAGCACACCAACCTCAGCAAATACCACAACAACAACAACCACAGGGAATGCCGCCCCCAGGCGTGCCTGCGCATCTTGCTGTGCCGCCCGTCTCGTCCACGGCGGCGTACCCAGCACAGCACCCACAACAAGGGTTTGCACAACAGTCACAGCAGCAGCCACAGCAGCTTCAGCCACAGCAGCTTCAGCCACAACAACAAGAAGCACAAGTGCAATACCAGCAACAGCATCACCCCCACGAGCAGTACGCTCAACAACAACAAGCATATGACCAATATCACGAACAGTACCACCCGCAACAACAACACGCATACGACCCACAACAACAGCAGCAGCAACCCTACGCAGAGAACAAGCAGGAGCCATCTGCGCATGTTGCCTCTCATGCTGAACCAAGTGGCCGCCATTCCCCACACCAGCGACGTCAGCAACACACCGCGCACGAGTCCCAGTTTGTGGACCGGCGTCGCCGCAGCCCAAGTCGAGAGCACTCACGCGACCGCACGCGCGGCGATACCTATCGGCGCGGACCACCCATGAACCGGGACCAAAGGCGGACACGAAGCAGGAGTCGAAGCAGAAGCCGCGAGCGCGCGCGTGATTGGAGCCGCGACAGGGAGCGCGACCAGCGGGAGCACAGCCGTGGCAGCTACGACCGCAGGCGTGAGCGGAGCCATGACCGCGATCGAAGGTACTCAAGCGACCGGCGCTCGCCATCACCGCGCCGCATGCGCAGCCGAGACCGCGGATACGACGATGACGACCGTGACTTTGACCGACGTCGGCGTCGCCGTCGCCGCTACGACAGTGACGATGAACCAGGCCACCGCTCCAGAGGTGTGAAACGAAGCATGTGCGATGCTGCGAGCTGGGGCTGCCTGCACTGTACTTGAAAGGGGCCCGTCTCTTCATTGTTTTGTTGTGCTGTTGTGCTGTGGTTGTATTATTTCCGCGTGGGTGGGTGGGAGTCATGTCACATCACTGATGCTGACACGTCATGGGTGCCATTGGTCGTGTAGGCCCGGTGCGCTCGCGTTCTCCGCCGTCACCTCGCGCCCGCCGCCGCCCCCAGCGCCACTCCTCCCCGTCCCACATCGCCATGCTCAAGAATCTTCCCTTTGACGCAACCCGCGAGGACGTAAGCCCCGTGCTTTGCTTGTGTGTGTGTGTGTGTGTGTGTGTGTGTGTGTGTGTGTGTGTGTGTGTGTGTGTGTGTGTGTGTGTGTGTGTGTGTGTGTGTGTGTGTGTGTGTGTGTGTCCGTTGACGTGGCGGATGACTTTGGCGCTTGCCTCTCTCTTGTACATGTGCACGCCGCTGGCATGAGCGAGGAAACCCCTTTTGCCCGTGACACGCCATCTTATACACACGCACCTTGTCATTGTCTTGGATGCCCCTGGTCGGTGCTCACGCAGGTGTGGGCTGCGCTGACCCAACTCGGCGCACAGCTGAAAGACGTTCGCATCATTGTCGATAAGGCGACAGGTTTGAATATATCACGCGCAATTGTACAGCCTCATCCTTGCTGTCTTGTACCCTCTTTCACGCACAAACACACACGCACACGCACACGTCACCTCACCCACCCTCTTGCACTCAACAACAACAACAAACAACAACAACAACTTCTACGACTACAACAACAACAACAACAACAACAACAACGACAACAACAACCATAACCAACAACAACAAACAACAACTACATTATCATCAACTACAACACCACCCCCATCGTTACCTTGACAGGGGAGCCGCGTGGGTTTGGGTTTGCCGAATTTGCGAGCGTGGACGCGTGCGCACGCTTTGTCGAAGACGATCGATTGCGTTTGGAGGTGCGACCCACGCACACCACCGTTCACATACACGCGCGTGCGCACACATGCTCGCGTGTATGCGACTGTGTGTCTTAACTGGTTCCTTCGTGTGTCTGGCATGTGAAAGACGCACGGACACACGACCGGGAACCGGCGCAACACCCGCGCATGGGCTGCATCAGCATGGCGCATTGTGCATTGGCAACTACAACTTCAACAGATGCAGTTGCACCCTTTTCCATAGTTGTGGCGGCGGTGTCATACAGACGCCCGCGCTCCAACCAACATCCTGTCGTGTCAGCAGTACTCATGTACCCGTACCTTCCATTCCTCTCCCTTCCTTTCTTCCTTCCTTGCTTCCTGCCACCACCACCACCAACAACAACAACAACAACAACAACAACAACAACAACAACAACAACAACAACAACAACAACAACAACAACAACAACAACAACAACAACAACAACAACACCACCACCACCACCACCACCACCACCACTGGGCGCTTCAGATCAACGGGCGACCCGTGCATCTTGACTACAGCCATCCAAAGCCCGACGAGCGGCAGCCAGCGTCCGACTGGTTGTGCACGTTTGTGAGTGACCCCCAGCCCCTTCGTCACCTCTCATCACTTCATCCCCTGCACCTGGGCTTCTGGCCACTGCTCTCTTCGTAATGCTTCCTTTACGTTCTCCTCCTGCCTTCAACCATCACGCTGGCGATGATGAGTTGTTTGGTGCGGCGTGCGCTCTCGCAATCCGGCCCATCTCTCGCTCGCCCGCTTGCTTGGTCGCTTGCTCGCTGACATGGTGTCGCCGCTTAAGGCGTTGGGTGTGGTGCCTTGACTGCTGGCTGTGGTGCTGTCGAACAGACACGAGGCTGGCGATGGCATTTGTTGTTTGACTCAGCTGTGACCCGCTCACGTGTGCACACCTCCACATTCCCGTTTTGTTCCTTCTCTCTTTTGTTTGTTGTCTTCGATCATCGCGTCGCACCTGCGACTACCACCAACGCTGCCACACCGACAACTGCGCTCGCACCCCACCCCCACCTCATGCCGTGGATCAATGGGTTGCGTGCTGCGAATGACCACGACGACGATGCCTCCCGACAATGACAACCATCGACACGTTGGCCCCCGCTGTATTGCTGTCATCAACAACTACCACAACAACAACATCATCATCATCATCATCATCATCATCATCATCATCATCATCAACAACAACAACAACATTGGCGTCGCTTTGTCGAATGTCGTTGCTGTCGTGGTGGTGTTGGTGATCACGACCTGCTAGTGCGGGGAGCAGAACTTTGCCCGCCGTGTTGCCTGCTTCCGCTGCCAGAGGGACAAGGACCCAAACGCCCGCGACGTCCCCGCCACGGTGCGCTGCTGTGCATGGTGCATGCCCGTGTGTGTTTTCGCGATGCGCTTCTTGTCTCTGTATGTGCGTTCGTGTTGTCAGCTCATGCTTGATGGTTCACCGCGTCCCTGAACCATCTGCTCTGCTCTCGCGCTCGCCACTCCTTGACAGGACTTGAAGAACACCCAACCGGGACCAGGTGCGTGCATGTGTGCGTGTGTGTGTGTGCGTGTGTATGTGTGCGTGTGTGTGTGTGTGTGTTTGTGTGTGTGTGTGTGTGTGCAGCTATTTGGTTGCATATGTGTCCGATTGCAATGCAACAGGCCTGGTCTCATGTGCATGCCACGTTTCTCACCACTTACTTGGTCGCGGGTCTCTTCTCATTTCGGAATTTTCATACTGATTCTGTATTGCAGTCCTCATCGTTCGCGGTTTGACAAAGAGAACAACAGACGAAATGGTATCACCGAAACAACACGCACGCATGCATACATGCACAGACACTTGTTGGTTCCCACCTACTGCTACAACGACCCCCTCCCCAGTCATCCATTCGTCACACTGCATCCCAAATCTCGCACGACACACACGCGCGCGCGACTGACACCCAATCTTCTCTCCTTCTTCCCCGTCTCCATCGTCCCTTCAAAGGTGTACAGCGCGTTTGCTGTAGTGCAGCCACCGCTTGCTGTGCGCCTTGTCCGTGATCGCTTCACCTCCGAATCCCGCGGGTTTGCCTTCCTCGACTATTCCAGCCCAGAGGTCAGAGGGGTGGCGTGACGCTTGCTTGATGTGAATGGCGTGTGCACACTTTGCTTGCTTGATGTGAATGGCGTGTGCACACTTTGCTTGCTTGATGAATGGCGTGCGTGGGTATGTGTGTGTGTGTGTGTGTTGGGTTCTTGTTTGTCTCCTCACCAGTACTTGTGTGTTGCTGACGGGTGCTTGCTCGACAGGAAGCGACGAGCGTGTTGAACCGCATCCAGGAGTCGCCTGTGCCGTTTCTCATTGACAACGTTCAAGGTACAGTGCATGACACTACGCAATATCAGACAAACAACGCTCAAACAACACCTTCAACAATGCTTACAACAGCAAAATAGCAAGCAAGCAAGCAAACAAGCAACATGATACTGACACCGGTGTGTGGCTTTGTCCTGTCTCACTTTCCTGTTCTGCAGTGCGCCTGTCATTCGCGAAGGAGGACCGCCAGCACCCCCAGACTTCCCAGAGCCACACTGCAAACGCCGCCATTCAAGCTGCCATGGCCCAGCGCGCCAGCTTGGTCGGTGCCACCCACCATCACCACGCCCCTCCTTTGCCTTTATCGTGCTCGCCAGTCTCTCTCTCTACACATGCAATTCGCCCTGTTCTTGGGTTGTCGTGCTTCTCCTCTCCCACTTCTGATTGTGTTGACGCTTGTTGGCATGTTTGAGGTCTTTGGCTCACACCCTGTCGTCTTTGTTCTTTGCAGTATGGTGGTGACCCCACGGGCCACACGTTGAGTGCACAGCCGCAGCCTGTGGCCACTCCCTCGTCAGCACACACCAACCCTGCTTCCACGGCACCGACAACAACGACGCCTGCTTCTTCTGCTGCCGCTGTCACTGCTACCACCGCGCCTGCAACCACGCCAACCAGACCAGCTGTTGTGCAGCAGGCCGCAACCGCCGACACCGCAGCACCTTCCACAAGCACCACTGCATCAGCACCAACAGCGACTGCCACCGCTGCCGCTACGACTGCGATGGTGACAGCAGCAACGACAACGGCAGCTGCGCCCGCCACGACACAGCAGGGCGCGTCGCTGTCTGCTCCGCCGAGCAACCCGCTCGAGCGCTTGCAGATGGACCCGCACTCGGGGTACGCGTATGATCCCGTCAGCGGCTACTACTATGATCAGTCGTCCGGTTATTTCTATGACAGTAGCACGGGTGTGTACTACGTGTTCGACACTGCCACGCAGGCATTTGTTGCGGCAGCAGCCGCTGGCGGTGCCGCTGCGGGTAGCAAGGAGAAGGACAAGGAAAAGAAGCGCAAGAAGCAAGCGAAGAAAGTGGCACATGACCTTGAGAAGTGGCAGCGCCAGCAGGAATCTGCCGCCGCCAAAGGTGGCCCTGCTAAACCAATTGCCGAGCTCCGCATCAAGGTGAACAGACACGCTTTTGATTTTGTGTGTGTGTGTGTGTGTGTGTGTGTGTGTGTGTGTGTGTGTGTGTGTGTGTGTGTGTGGCTCCTTTGCCTTCTCTCCGTGTCATTGCTGACGTTGGTTCGCTTGACAAATGCCCCACTTTTGTTTGCCCCCCCCCCCGGCCACTGCCTTGGTGCCTGATGTCGCTAGCGTATGCCTGCCACCAAGGAGGAAGAGGAGGCGCTTCGTGCGCCGAGCGCCGAGAGAGCAGCTGGACCTCAAGGGCAGCAACAGGAGAACAACAATGATGATGATGGTAATGGTGCCAGTGATACGAAGCCGGAGGGGCAAGAAGGTTCCCAGCAGCCACCACAGCAAACAGGCAAGAAGCCGGCAGGCAAGACCGATCTGCACGCTCTGCTGCGGAAGCTGCCGCCAACGCAGGGCAGTCCCAATGATTGGGAGACGATGCAGGCGCGCTCGCTCGTGGACCTGGACAAGGTGGCGTGCCTCGTGTGCAAGCGGCAGCTGGATACTGTGGAGAAGCTTGAGAAGCACGTGCGTCTCTCCAAATTGCACAAGGAGAAGGTGGTCAAGGCGCGGTCCAAGCTCTTCAACAAGCTCAGGTGACAACATGGGCGCTGCACGTTTTTTTTTTGTTTTTTTTTGCTTTTTTGGTGGGTCCGTGTATGCCCATGTTCTTGCGTTCTTCATTTTGATTTGTGTGTGTGTGTGTGTGTGTGTGTGTGTGTGTGTGTGTGTGTGTGTGTGTGTGCGCGCGCGCGTTTAGTGACAAGGAGGCTTCTCTTTGCAAGGTTTGCCAGCGCCCACCACGCACAGTTGCTGACGTTGTTGCATTGTCCGCAATGCCTGGCTTGTTTGTTTTGTTGTCTGTAGTGAGGGTGAACGTGAAACCCTTGAGCGCTTGGAAAGCAAGCCCATGTACCGTGACAGGTATGTTCGTTCTGGTGACTGGTGGGAGCTATCCTTGCTGTTCTTGCTGGCTGTGTATTAGTCCGCTTCCTCCTCACGTGCTGCCTTCCTCTGTGTGTGTGTGTGTGTGTGTGTGTGTGTGTGTGTGTGTGTGTGTGTGTGTGTGTGTGTGTGTGTGTCTTACTGTAGGGCCCGAGAGCGCCGCCAGAAGTACGGGCAGCCCGAGCGGCCGGCTGATGCCATGACAGGTCGTCCTGCTTTTCAGCAATCAGGATTCGAGCAGCCAACGCTGGTCAGTTTGCCGTCGTGTGTGTGTGTGTGTGTGTGTGTGTGTGTGTGTGTGTGTGTGTGTGTGTGTGCGTGCGTGTGTGTGTGCGTGCGTGCGTGGGGGGCATGCAATTTGTGACCCCTTGCCGCGTTGAGCCTTGGCCCCGCTGTGTGAACATTCCTCGTGTCATCACGCAATTGCTGTGGTGTGGTGCTGTCCAGAATGGCATTGGGTCTGACAACATTGGCAACCAGCTGTTGAAGAAGATGGGCTGGAAGGCCGGCGAGGGCCTTGGCTCTCGCAAGCAGGGCATCGTTGACCCCGTACAGGCTGAGATTCGGACCAGGGTGAGTTTGGTTCTCAGCAAGCATCAGCATGCTCTGAACAGGGAGGGAGACGGTGGAGGGAGACGTGTAAGGGGTAAGCGAGTATTCGTGCTTTGTGCTTGTGTCCGTGTGTGTGTGTGTGTGCATGTGTGTGCGTGTACGATTGCCGGCTGTTCCTTTGCTTGGATGTGGTTAATGTTCATTTTTGTCTCTTCACTGACGGCTGAGTGTGTGTATGTGTGGTGTGTGTGTGTGTGTGTGTGTGTGTGTGTGTGGCAGAACGCTGGCCTGGGCTCTGGGACCGTGATGAAGGTTGATTCAATGCCAACAACGTACAAGGGGATTGTGCGCCAAAAGGCAAAGGAGCGCTATCGTCGCATTGAGCGCGAGGAGGGTGACACGCACGAATGATGCACGGACAATGATGTGGTGATTCGTGTGCGCTCAGCTTGATTCGGGGTTTGGACTTGCACGTCATGTGTGTATGTGTTTAATGCTGCTTGGGCGCATTTCCATGTGCATGTGTGTGTTGCGTGTGTGCATGTGTGTGAATTTCCGTGTGTTGCCCGATTCCATCGTGCGGTTTTTGTTGCCTACACGTGATGATAAACAACCCAACGATCCACGATGGTAACACACACATACACATACACACACACACACCTGTGTATGGTGGTTCATTGTTATTCAATTTGTTCACACAGTTGCGATTTCAGTGTTTGCACGCGTTGCTGCAGCGCCGTGTCTGCCTCCACTTGCTCCTTGAGCTTCTTCACTTCTGCATGGGTGCACAGGGGGGAGGGTGAGTGGTTTGCAACAGCACATAGAAAGAACGGTGTGGTGAGGCCGTGAATTGTGGACTGTTGAAGGCGTTTGTTCAGGGTAACTTTTGAAAAATGAGCGGCTCGCACGAGTGGCAGTGCAGGGCACAGTGCGAGGGGCTGTGTGATGCGAAAAAACAAGGGGGAGGGGGAATCGGAGGGTCTGCCCGTTTGAGAGTCCTCGCCTTCTCTCACTCACCTTCCTTGAGCCTCTCGGCCTCTTCTCGCTTGTCCATGAGCTTTGCCACTTGCTCGATGTTGACGCCTTCACCTCGGTTCCCGTGGCGGCGGATAAACGCCTGTAGGTCTTCCAGCAGTTGCGGGGCACTGTCATGTGTGTGTGTGTGTGTGTGTGTGTGTGTGTGTGTGTGTGTGTGTGTGTGTGTGTGTGTGTGTGTGTGTGTGTGTGCACGAGATACAGAAGCGGACGATCCAGTCGCTCGAGTAAGCAAAAAATAAAAACCACCGTGGCACCTCGCTCATTCGTCCAGTTCATCGCTACGCGCAGCGGCGCGGACACATAAGGACCAGGGGTTCAGTTGCTGCGTTGGAGATGATTGCACTTTCGCAGCTTGCGACATCGTGACTTGCACGACATACATGTTTGGTGGAAATTGTACTTGGTCCAGGGCGGACTCCTGTTGATGCGAAGCAGCAGTGCAACAAGGGAGTCGCCACGGAAAAGTCAACACGTATCATGAAGCTGTGGGACAGCGGGCGTGAACCACGTGCAGCTGATCGAGAAGCTATCGACTGCGAATGCTGCACAAGAATGAAACAACCAAACAGGCAAAGAACCGACAAGCGGAGAAGCAATCAGGCGAGCAGCCATGATATGGCCAGGCTCCATTTGTTTGACAGTCTCGCATGGAGGTGGACTCGCCTTGATGTGTGGTGTTCTGTGTCGCTGGTGAAGCTTTCGGCGCTCGACGCGGACAGCGAGGATGTCGAGGCGTGTGCGGACGAGCACCAGTTGCCGCTTCAAGGAGGCCATCTCCTCCTGCGTGTCCTTGACGTCCTGCACGTGTTGTTGAATCTCGATCTCCATGCTCGCTGCCTCCTGCTTCTCTACAGCGATAAGACAACAACGAACGAACACGCGCGCGCGTGTGTGTGAGGTGAGAGAGAGAGAGAGAGCGTGTGTGTGTGTGTTTGTGTGCGAGAGCGTGTGTGTGTAACGCGGAAGGGAAAGAAATGAAAACTGGTGGCACATCAATGAACACCACTTTATGATCGTACATGCGTCTCGCAATACACAGGCTTCTCACACTACACATTCTTCTCACAGTAGACACTCTTCTCACACCTACACAGTCCTTTCACATGACTCGACAGAGGGACGCACTCTTCTGCTCTTCGCGCAAGCACGCGTCGTACTCCTGTTCACGCTCTTTGAACGTAGCTGCTGCGCCCAAGCCCGCCATGTTCCAAACGAAGAGCAGAAGAGTGCTGCTGCTGCTGCTGCTGCTGCTGCTGCTGCTGCTGCTGCGAACGTGCTTGTGAATGTGAATAAAAGAGTGAGTCCAGAGGGCGTGAAGCAAACACAAAACACACACATACACGCCCAGAGGGAGGGCAAAGAGACTCCGCACACAGTGCACACAAGGCACGACGTTTCCATCGCAAACCTTCGCACTGTCGTTCGCACTGTCTGTCTGTTGCTTTTGCTTTTTGTATTGTGTGGATGTGCGACTGACAGAGGATGACATCAGTGAGCGGAAAAAATAAGTTTTCATCACCGGCACACATTCAAAACCACCCGAAATATGCGTCAATCGCTTCCATTTTCCGTTGGCTGTCCCACGCACAACAGAGAACGAAGACAGCAAACCTCAGAGCGCAAGCACAGAACCATCTTTTCCTGTTACCTCCAGGATTGCCGATTATTCACATTGATGCCAACGACTTTCTGCATCCAAGATGGCGCAGCGCAGATCGGCCACCGCAGCAGGCAGCACTGACGGAACACCGCCGTGTGTCAAGAAGAAAGAAGGCCGATTGTACACCGGGAGCCTTGACAATGAGGAGTACGACGCCTTCAAGAAGTGGCTCAAGAAGCAGCGCAAGGAAAACTCCAGGACGCTGACGGTGGACGCAAAGCTGGACATCGTCGCCGTGCAGGCGTACTTTCGCCATGAGAAGTTTGTCAACGCGAACAAGTCAGGGAGGCCCAAGCAGTATCGGTTCACGGCACTCGCAAAGAACGTCCTTCAGCGCAGCACAGACGTCTGTCAACAAGCATGGAAGGACTACGAGCGCGCGCAAGCGGTGTCAGTCGCAGACAACGACGGGCCACGCGGGACCAAGACGACGAAGTTCAAGCGCACTGAGGCATTGCGTGTGAAGCTGCAGAACTGGTTGTACGAGCGCACTGTCAAGGGCAACCGAACTGTGGCAAAGGACGTGCTCGGCTTCTTCTGCTCCTCCGGTGTGCTGCCGATGTACTCTGATCCCACTTCGAAAGCGAACGCCCTGAGAGCTGTGCAACGATACCTGGAGTCCCTTGGCTACGAGAGAGGTCAGCGAGGCGGTTGCACCACCTACATGGAGAAGGAGGAGGTGCTGATCAAACGAGACGCGTACATCACCCAGATGATCAAGGCCCGACAGCAGCGGCGACGCATTGTCTACCTCGACGAGAGCTACATACACCACCACTACCGCCGGCATGATGAGTCGCTGTACGACCCCGGTGATAACCGCCTGCTCCCCAAGCAAAAGCACAAAGGCCGGCGCTTCTGTTTCATCGCGGCAATCATCTCAAGCGACCCTGCAGTACCAGAAGCAGAGCGATCCGAGGAACATCGTGCACAGCTGTTACCCGAGACGCTGGACATCTTTGAGGGGGGCAAGAAGCAGAGTGGCAAGGCGCAGACCAAAGACTACCATGGCATGTTTGACAGTGCGTACTTTGAGCGCTGGATGCAGACGCTGCTCGCCACGCTCGACGCCCGTGGCATCAAAAACACCATCATTGTCATGGACAACGCCAAGTACCACAAGTCACTCCCAGCGGACACGCCCAAGCAATCATGGAAGAAGGCAGCCATGGTCGAGGCCTGCACGGCGCGCGGCCTGCCAGTATCCGACACCGACACTCGGGCCTTGCTGTGGGCCAGGCTGCGCGACCACATTGCACAAACAGTCAAGCCCGTCGTCGTGCAAATGGCAGAGGACGCTGGGCACGAGGTGCTGTGGACACCGCCGCATTACTCCGACCTTCAGCCCATCGAGATTGTTTGGGCAAACGTGAAAGGAGACGTTGGTCGACAGTACAACTACGACACAACGTTCAAGGACGTGCGCCAGCGGTTGGACGAGGCGTTTGCAACCCTGACACCGAAGACAGTTGAGGGATGCATTGCAAAAGCAAATGCTCGGCTGGATGAGCTTTACAGGCAGATCACGAGCCTCGATGAGGTGGATGAGGAGGCAATCGATGATGGGGTGTTCGATGACGAGCAGTGTGATGATGATGATGAGAATATGGAAGAGGTCGATGTTGTGAACGAGGACAAAGACAAGGACAGTGACGAGGACAGTGACGAGGACGACGATGAGGGTGAACATGAAGACGAGGATTAGTGTGAGTGGTTTGCCTGTTGTGTGGTTCATTGTGACTTGGTGGGTGGATGTGGGGTGGGGTGCCGTAGTCAATTGTGCTGAGGGAAAGGGGGTTTTTAGCGTGTTCTCTGTGGTCGAGAACGGCGAAATAAATCGTCAAACACGTTAATGTGATTTTCCGCTCACTGATGTCATCCTCTGTGAAGTCGTTTTCGAAGGAGATGACAATGAAGCGGAGCGGCGTGGTTGTGGTTGTGGTGCTTGGGGTGGTGGTGCTTGGGGCTGTCGTGGCTCCGATGATCGTGTCGCCGTCCTCGTTCTCCTTTGCCACGATGAACCTACATCCATCCGCCAGCCAGGTACATACTGCATGCACGGCTGTAGCGCATGGCTGGAGAGTGCACAACTTGCTGCATGCAGGCATGCAGGGACATCCGTGCGTGCGTGCGTGCTTGCAAGCAAGCAAGCAAGCAAGCAAGCAAGCACCTTGACAAGACCTGCTCGTCTTGCTCACTTGCCACGCTGTCACGTTGTTGTCTTGTTGCAGCTGTCGTATTGCGCCTTCTGTCGTGTCGTCGCAGCTGACTCCCGATGCACACGCACGCACGCACGCACACACACACACACACACACACACACACACACACACACACACACACACACACACACACACACACACACACACACGAAAACACCAACACACGCACTCGTGCTCACAACTGACCATTAGGTGAGGGCTTTGCGCGGAAACACTGCCAATGGGAATGAAAGACCAGTGCCAACACAACTGCGTCCACCCCCACCACGCATCGGCCAGAACAAGGCGCCAGGGAACAGCTCACAGCCGGGTCGGCAGGAACACCGAGGGGACAGCAGGGGTTCATCTCCCAATCGCTCGTTACCCCCTGCGCAGGAAGCCGATGTGGAGACCACGCCCGAGCCCGTGAGCTTGTTGTCACTTTGTAAACGACACCATGTCGCATTCACACTCTCGTTTCCCTGCTGTAGATTTGGTGCCCGAGTGATTCACAACCCATCACCCCACCCCCACTCCCTCACGCACGCACACACTCACGCACGCACGCACACACTCACGCACGCACGCACACGCACGACCAACTACTCACGCTCTGCTGTTGTTGGCTTGGTTCTCTCGTCATGTCTCGCCGCACATAATCCTTCACATAGACGTGCCGGCCAGGCCGTGACGCGCACTGCGACTGCCCGCCAGACTGTCACGAGTGTCGCCCAACGCAACAGGTAGGCCCATTGTGTGTGTGTGTGTGTGAAAACAGCGTCCCTGTCACCCACACCTACTCACCAATACGCTCCAAGACACATCCACATGCATACATGCATTCGCATACCCCGTGCGCACACAAGTACACTCACATGCACTGCGTTTCCTCTTCTTGACCCACCCTCCTGACTCCTCCTCGTTGGCGGCTGTGCCAGGAGTGCGTCATGTGCCGCAATTCAAGGTTTCTCCATCAGGGCCAGTGCATCGACGAGTGTCCGAACACCCTCTACCCAAGTACGTGACGTGAACACATGCTATGCGAAGCACGGGCCGAGTCGTCCTCTGCACGTGCGCTCTCATCATCGTCGACTCACACCCTCCACACACCCTCCACACACACACACACACACACACACACACACACACACACACACACACACACACACACACACACACACACACACACACACACACACACACACACTCGCGCTTTCTGTTGTAGTTGGACAGGGCCAATATGGCAAGTACTGTGGGGAGGAATCTGACACACAAAAGGAGGGTGTAAATCAAGTGGACATCTTGCAGCTGCTTCGGGAGCGTGCGCGACAACACCACGAAGCGGTTGTTGGAGAGGGTGGCGCTGATGGCGAAGGCGCTGATGGCAGAAGTGCCGACGCCGGCACACGTGCAGAGGCCTCCTCGTGTACGTGCACAGACTGCGTCGAGAAGTCGTGCGTCTGCAACGCAGATGGCACGACGCAATGCATGCTGTGCAAGAACTTCAAGGTGCGCCACGTGTGCGTGTGTGTGTGCGTGCGAGGGAGAGAGAGAGAGAGAGAGAGTGTGTGTGTGTGTGTGTGTGAGCGAGTGAGTGTGTGAGTGTGTGTGTGAGTGATTGAGTGAGTGAGTGACTGAGTGAGTGCGTGTGTATGTATGTGAGCGAGTGAGTCGGTGAGTGAGTGAGTGAGTGATTGAGTGAGTGAGTAGGTGAGCGATTGAGTGAGTGCGTGTGCATGTGCGTGTGCGTGCGTGCGGGTGTGCTAGTGTGTGTGTGTGTTCGAGACGGATGCCCAAATCGATGCGAGGTGGATTCTGTCCCGCTTTGTTTCACGCTGCAAACAAGCAAGCAAGCGCCGCGCATGGGTGCCAAGCTTCCGTGTATTTGTTGAGCGTGCACAACACAGTAACTCAGACTCGCACAACACCACACGCTGCCGTTTAACTTCACTCACTGGCATGTGTTGTGCATGCCTTGGGCGACCCACAGTACCTGCTCAACGGCCAATGCGTGGATGACTGCCCGGCAACTGGTGCGTACACAGCAATCGGCACATCTCGGTTCGGGCGCAAGTGCAAACCTCGTGGTGCTGGTGGCTCAATCGGTACCGGGAACGGCTTTCATGACTTGAAGGTTGGTTGTGGTCGGACGCGCCCCGTGTGCCCCGTGTCGTGCACGTGCGTCTCACGCATCCTCCAATCATTCTCACCCATGTTGCAGGTGGCTGGAAATCACGCAGTCTTTCTTCTTAACCTTGTGCTTGTGGGTATTAACTTTGCCTCCTTGCCAGTACTCACTGTACTCTCAACTGTCGCCTCGCCACGCACGCAACGCACACAACGCACACAACGCACGCAACGCACACAACGCACACCTCTTTGCCATGGCTGTGATGCGACGCAGGCCAACCCACCGCCGCTGGAACGCCCACTGCAGTCCGAGCACGCAAAACATGCAACAACAAAGCAGGTAGATGTTGGCCTCGACGGTGAGGGCAAGGCGAAAGTGCACGTCATTGCATGGGGGCTGGATCATGACCAGATTCAAGCTGCGACCATCAACATTGCTGTCGGTGACACAGTCAGGTGTGTGTATGTGTGTATGTGTATATGTGTGTATGTGTGTATTTGTGCGTGTTTGCTTGTTTGCTTGCGTGTGTGTGTGCCTGTGTGCACAAGCGTTGGCACGTGCTTGCTTGTTTTCGTGCATGTTCGCACTTGTTTGTTGCTGTAGTGTTGCATGTGACTACTGAGAGTAAGCACATCCGCACGCGCGCGCGCACACACACACACACACATGTAAATGCAACCACACACACACACACTCATGCAACGCAACCACACACACGACAGGTGGATCATAGATGGGCGACACAGTGTCATCAGCGGGCGACCAGGCCAGCACGATGGTACGCGAGCGCTTATGCGCACGAAGAGGGTGTGCGATGTCAGCAACACGGACCGGGGTGACTGGCAATTTGCAGGCAGACACAGCCCATTTTGGCATTGCACAACAACGACAACAGCAGCACAGCCATGCCACAGGCACACGCGTCTGTTGGACACCCGCTTTTCACCTCGTCGTCACATTCACGTTTCCCCATGCACTGCGCTGCAGCGGAGTTCTTTTCGGGTCCGCCGGGCAGCAAGACCGTTTTTGAGCACACGTTCACCAAGGCGGGCGTATTCCCGTACCACTGCCGCAGCCACAGCGGTAGAATGCAGGCAAGTCTAGTGACATGGCGTGTGTTACAACCCACACCTAGCGTCTCACTCACTCTGTGTGCTTGTGTGTGTGTGTGTGTGTACTGCATGCCGCGTGTTTTATAATGCCGTGTGCACGTGTGTTGTGCGTGTGTGTGTGATACCGCAAAGGGCATTCATCTGATGTCTGACAACGTGCATGCCATGTCCGCCGTGCTTTTGGTGTTGTGACAGGCGACCATCATTGTTGGCAACCCCGCAAAAGATAAAGGTATGATTGGCAAGTGAATTGTGTTGTGATTTGGCTCATGCACGTGAGGGTTGCTGCTTGCCATTGATATGGCAAAGGAACCAAGGACAGCATCGTCTCAATGCAATGCACATGTGTTCGCACACTCACTCTGCTGTGTCGTGGTCGTTTCTGTTTGTTCTTGCGGTCATTTGTGCAGCAGAGCGTGACTGGCAGTATGTACTCATGTTTGAAGGAGCTGGGGGTTCCACGGATCGCCCACAGCGCTTCGAGACAGGTGTGTGTGTGTGTGTGTGTGTGTGTGCGTGTGTGTGTGTGTGTGTGTGTGTGTGTGTGTGTGTGAGCGAGTGTGTGTGTGTGCGCGTGCGTGTGTGTGTGCGAGTGTTGCATGGGGCACGCTCGATTCATGGAGTGTGTGCTCGTGTCAGGCCTGCCATTTTTCGTCCGTTTTGCTCAAAGGAGTCTGCTCTCGCTCATGATCAAGCGAGTCTCTTGCCTCTCACGGATAAGCACGCACGCCTGCGCACACGCACACAATATTATGTTATGACAGCGATGAAGGAGGAATTTACGGTGTTCCGCGCCAAAGGGGTGACGTTGCGCGAGTGCCAGGCGCGGTGCGGTGCGGACACCATCTGCAAGGGCGTGTTCTACTACCGGCAGTCGAGGCGCTGCAAAGGGCTTGCGTCGCTGGGCACGGCTGGTGTTCCCACTGAGATTAAGGCCGACAGTTATGCAAAAGTTCACTCCATGCACCCAATTCAGACTGCGCACTGAGTACAGTGTAGCGTGTGCACTCGGCTGCACTTCGTGTGTGTGTGCGTGTGCGTGTGTGCGTACTTGTGTGTGCGTACTTATGTGTGCGTGTGCATGTGCGCGCCCATGCGTGTGTGTGTGTGTGTGTGTGTGTGTGTGTGTGTGTACGTCCATGTGTGTGTCCTTCATGCACCCTGTCTAGATCTCCTTCAGCCTTCCCTTCCATCGTAGCCCTCTTGGTTCCCCTCTTCCATAACTTATGCTTACAATAGCCCATGTCAAGTTGTCGTCTTGCATTTCTCCCCTCCTTTGTTGGGTGCAAAATAAATTCAGGCCCACCTTGCAGAGAGCATTCCACAGCCAGTCACACCGACATCAAACGACGACCAATCACATTCACATCACACATCAACTGCAACAATTCCAGACAATTCACATCATCACACCTCACTGTTCTCCCACCATCACATCCAATTTGAAATGCGCACGCGCACAATCTCGACCGCGTTGAAGCGAAACAAGGTGTTCAACTCAACCAAACAAGCCAGCGAGGGAGCAAGCGAGGAAGCAGGCAAGCGAGGAATTGTCCGTCTCTGTCATGTCATGTCTCTCACACACACGCACACTCACCAATGCTTGCTCGCACGAGCGGGCTGTTTGTTTGTGTGGCATTCGCGCATTTGAAAGGTGCGTTTTTTGTGCGCGTTTTTTGCATGCAGGCAACCAACAACAGCCAAACACCACAAGAAAAAAATAGCACCCACAAGAAGCAACGTCAATCAACCAACCAACCAACCAACCAACACCACCATCAACCGCCTCCACGACGTTGTTCACGCACCATCACAACACAACACATCGCAACACACCCTACACACCGCGCATCACACCAACAAAAGGGTCTCTCTCTCTCTCTCTGGGTGCTTCCTTGTGTTGTTACACACGCCACACGCGGTCAGGCATCAACTTTCGACGTTTTGGTTGCTTCGTTCCTCCGGTGCGTGCAACGAGCAAAGCGAGCAAGCAAGCAAGTCACAAACTCAAAACACATTGGTCCGGTCTGCATGACCACTCCACCCACTCTTGGTCTACACACGCACATGCACACACACATGCACACACATGCACACAGTGAGCCCCTCCTCCTTGCCGTTGTTGCATACCTTCCTCTTCCTCGCCTCCCTTCTTGTTGGTGATTTTGCTTTTCTTTGCTTTTTGCTCCTTGCTGGCTTGGCGGGTGTATGACGTGGACACGCGCTTCCCACCCACGCGGCCATCCTCGCTAGTGTGTCACAGCCGCGATTCCCTCGCACAGTTCCACTCCTCAGTGGTGTCCTCCTTGACTTCGTTGACCAACCAGCATCACATCCCATCCGAGCCTAAACCTTTGCTTCCACCACCACCACTACCAAGACAACATTCCCTCACCCGCACTCACTTCATTGTCAACACCCACGGCTTACTCATCGCTGTTCACATTACCCGGGACACACCACACTGCCCCTCTTTCTCCCCATCTCCGCCACACACGTCCGCACGTCCCTGTCTGTCCTCGTTCATTTGAACGGCTTTGTTTCTCGCTGCACGTCTCTCGCCCACCCATTCATTTTATCACAGCGCCCTCCATCGACCGCCGCAGCACATCCACATCCACAACGGCATCATCAACAACAGCAATAACAGCAACAGCATCAACAAACCCCATCAACAGCAACAGCATCAACAATAGCTCCAGCAACCACAACCACAAGTCAAGCCAACACACCAACCACCACCAACACAAGCAACGCAAACGTAAACAAAGCACACCAGCCACCCTCGCCGGCACCATGACCTCCCTCGCCGAACGGCGTGCTGCAAAGAAAGGCCTGGGCAAGGGCAAGTTCCAGCTCCCAAGTCTCTCACCACCATCACCTGTGTACGTCATTGTCCTCCTACAACACGCACCCCCCCCCGCACGTGTGTCTGGTGGTGTAGAGTATTGGTTGCCTTCTTCCCGCGCCTTGCAGTGCATTCATCAATCGCCCCCCCCAAACAAATTGACGACTCATTTTGCACACACCCATCTCATCTCTCTACCTCTCCCATCTATCTCCATCCACAGGTGCGCCACCCCACCACCGTTGCGCTCATTGAAGGCGTCGCTGCGTGGATACAAGGGCCCCGATCGTCGGTCCATGCAAGACTTTATTTTCAACAAAGAGCGTTTCCTGAACGCGTGCGACCTCAACATTAAGGTGCGCCAGTCACCTGCTTCTCATGTATTTGTTCGATGGCTGTGTGCGTGTGTGCAAGTGTGTATGTAGGTGGATGTGTTTGTACGCGTGCGTGCATGTGCGTGCGTGTGTGTATGTAGGTGGATGTGTTTGTACGCGTGTGTGCACGTGTGTGCACTTGTTGTTTTATCGTGTGCTCATTCACGAGAACTTGAACTCACATGCCACCTCGTGTACACGCACGCATGCCATGCGCGGTCATAGGCGTTTGAGACGCTGGAGACGCTGGCCGAGGGCGAAGGGCGAGGCGTGCACAAGGTGCGCCACACCCACACCGACCTGATCCTCGTGCAGAAGATTGTGCACTACGACCACACGGAGGAGACGCACCGCGTGCTGCAGCGCGAACTTGACCTCTTGCACGACTGCCACGCCCCCGAGGTTGTCAACTTCTACGGCTCCTTCATGGAGCGCAGCGAAGTCCACATCATCATGGAGTACATGGTATGTGTGCTTCACATGCAATGCGTGCGCCTGCATTGTGCGTGTGCGTGTGTTTTGCACGTACCTCTTGACCTCTGGTTGACATCTGCATGCCTGTGTTGCCGCGCAGTTTATGTTGCACGAATGCCTTGCTGCTGCTGCTGCTACTCCTCGGGTGCTTCTCACTTGTGACTTGCTCCTTCTCGTCTAGAATGGCGGCTGTCTGGACGATGTGTTGAACCGAATTGGGCGCATCGATGAGCATCCCCTCGTCCACATCTGTCATAAGGTGTGTGTGGGTGTATGCTCACCTGAGTGTTACGTGCTTGCGTCAGGATGTAGTTGTGTTTCACTCCTGCCTCCCCTCTGCCTCACCTCTGCCTCACCCTCTGCCTCACCTCTGCCTCACCTCTGCCTCACCTCTGCCCCTTCTTACTCACGCATGCTGCTATTCGTCATTCGTTCAGGTGCTTCGCGGCCTGCTGTATCTTGAACAAGAGAAAATCATTCACCGCGACCTCAAGCCAGCCAACATCCTCGGTATGGAACGCGTGCATGCATCATTCATTCCATGTGTGTGTGTGTGTGTCGATGTGTGGCAGGTGCCTCAAGACAATGGCACGTGGTTGGTTTTGTGGCTTCGTTTGTGGCTTCGTTTTGTGGCTTTGTTGTAGGTATGCACCCATCGTATCTCACGTCAATTTGCTCTGTGCGCGTGTGTGCGTGCGTCCTTTGGTCTTTTCATTGACCTGCAGTCAACACGGAGGGCGATGTGAAGTTGTGCGACTTTGGTGTCAGCAGACGGCTGATCACCACGCGGGCCAACACATTTGTTGGCACCATGCGCTACATGTCGGTGAGTGAACATGCTTACACGTGATCTTCAAAGCAGCACAGGGGCGATCGATACCTCTGTGCTATTGTCCGCCACACAAGACCACGCGCACACAAGAACACACACACACATATACACACATTAGTGCACACAAGCACACATTAGTGCACACAAGCACACATTAGTGCACACAAGCACACACGCACACACACACACACAAGCACACAAGCACCTGCATGATGTGCCTGTTGATGCCCTCGGAGCAATCGCGTTGCTGACGTTGCGTCTCTGTGTTGTGTTTGCACATGGCAACAGCCGGAGCGGCTTCACGGCGAAGAGTACACCGTCAAATCAGACATCTGGAGTCTCGGTGCGTGGCTCACGCTTGTCGTCATGTTATACAATTCACACGTTGCTGATGGTGCCGCGGCACACGCACACACGCATACACACAAATGCGCACGCAGACACACACCCAACCCAACCCCTCACGCACACAGTTGTACATACCAACGACACTCACATGTTGGTCCTGCTTGTTGCTTCATTGTTGTTGCCTGCAGGCATTTCGCTGCTTGAGATGGCGACGGGCGTGTACCCCTACTTGCCGGATGTGGACCCAAAGAACCTGCCTATGATGCCAAAGAAGGACCCGGACACCAAGAGCCCAACAAAGCGATCAGACCTTGCTGTGTTTGACGTCATCTCCTCTGTTGTCAAGGGACCACTCCCAAGGTACAGCGGTGCAACTTGTGTGTGTGTGTGTGTGCGTGTGTGTGTGTGTGTGCTTGTTGCGCGTTTGCGTGTGTTGTTTGTGACTGTGCAAGGTTGCTTGTTGCGACTGAGATGTTGATGTACGCAACCCCATGTGTCTGCTTCCTCTGCTGCTCACGTGCACGTGCTTCCCCCTTCTCTCCTCATCTCTCTTGTCGTCTCAGTCACTCACTCACTCACACACACACACACATCCTCTCTCTCTCTCTTCTTTGTCAGGTTGCCAGCCAAGATCTTTTCCGCGCCATTTGAGCGTTTCGTTGCAGACTGGTGAGTTCATAATCATCTTCTGCAGCATCGTCACCACCGATTTGCTTTCGCTTTCTTTCGCCTTGCACTCATTCACCCTTTTTCGCATGCACACTTCCCCCTTCTCAACACACACACACACACACACACACACACACACACACACAGTCTGCATAAGAAGGCGAAGGACCGCATGAGCCTGGAGTTACTCAAGGGCCACGAATGGATCACCACACTGGGCGCGTTTTCGTTCAACATGTCGGACTGGGTGAAGAGCACGCTGCCTACGAAGCGGTTGCAAGAGCTGGAAGAAGACACGCAAGACGAGTTTGAGGAAGAGCCGGCAGTGCGTGTCATGACGTAACGCCGTGTGGCACATGGCTCCATATGTTTGAGTGCTCGCGTACGTGTGCGTGTGCGCGTACGTGTGCGTGTGCGTGTGCGTGTGCGTGTGCGTGTGCCGTAACGTAATCATTCACCCGTTGCGGCTGCACTTTATTCGTTTTCTTAGAGAAGTGTTTGAACTGTTATTGTAAAACAGGCTGCAGCAAGCCCTGTTGTTGCACGCCTGTGCCTGTGTGCAATATCTGGTGCGTCAGGTGCTGTTTTCTGTGGACTTGCGATGGCGCAAACACCTGTGTCATCTAGCGTTTGGATGTTGTGCGCTGTCATATCGTGTGCTCGCTTGATACATGATACATGCACGCCATTCCTTTGATGTTTCTGATGCGTTGTTCCTAATGTTGTGGCTGATTCTCCCTCCCCCTCTCTACTCTCTACTCTCTCTCTTGTAATTGAGACCTGTTCTGAACTCTGTTGTTCCGAGCGTTGCACTTCTCTCTCTTGCTTGACATGATACCTCTTTCTTTCCCTCTTTTTCGCTCCCCGTTTCATCTTGCATCATCATTTCCCCCTTAGCGTCGTCGAAACACCCCCATTCCCTCTTTGCACCTGTTGTTTGCCCCGCCCCAATTGCATAAAACAACGTTCAACCGCAAGCAAATCAAATCGAAAGCAGTGTAGCAATAGCAGCACCGCACACATCATCACGCGCTTGTAAGGGTGCGCTTGCTTCGTGGATACCTTGCACAGGGTGTTGTGTAACACGATCATGACATGACCACTGTTGGGTGTTGCGCTGGCTCCTCCCAATTATTGTTGCGAGACTCTCGTTCGTTACTGGTGCTTTCTTGTCTCATTATTGTCGTGTGTGAGACCAAAACAATCGAATCAGGGCAGGCATGCACACAGATGAACAAGCACAATTCTGTTGCCTAACAACGGTTCATACACCCACCCATCAAACAACAGCCCAAAAACATGAGCAATTCAAGGCGGAGAGGAAGTGTCAGAGCAGGTGTGTGTCACGAATATGTACATACAGTATTTGGAATGGAAGGGAGGAAATCCAACAAGCGAAGATAGCGAGCGGGCAATTAAACATGGCTTTTGACAAGTGACGAACAAGGACGTGTGCTGTGAGAGCAGAACCCATCAACGGATGGGGAAACCAACAGCACTGTAACGAAGAGAGGCGCCGTGAGCCTTAGCACGTGCCTGCAAGCAGGACAAAGGATGCTTGCTTGGCTACGCAGACGATGACGCACGTGCGGATGATGACGATGACGAATGGAACACACTCATCACCTTTCGTACGTCTGCGTGCTGGTGCTTCTTCTTCAAGCGAAGGCTGTGATTGGGTGCGCGCAAGATAAAGGAAAGCGAGTTGCTGCCGGTGAGCAACTGCATAACATCATTCCATGGCAGGCCATACACATGCACGCACACATAAAAAATCATACACACACAATCACACACACACACACACACACACAATCACACATACACACACACGTATACGTACGCATACGCACACAAACAAAACCGCACACACAATCACACGAAATCATGCACACACACGTACACGTGTAGAACTGACCTGAACTTGCGGCCTTTGGAAATACTGCTGTCGTGGCTGATGACGCTGAGACGATCACTGCTCTCGCTACTGCACGTGCTGTCGCAACCAACGCCAGAGCTCGCCACTGACAGCTGGCTTTGCCTGAATGTCGACAAAGCAGATGGTGGGTGAGAGTGAGAGTGGTGGTGGGTGAGGGTGAGGATCGTGGGCGAGGGTGAAAAAATGTGTAGCTGCTGCAACAAGCACACAACACACGGACACACACATGTACACACACACATGCACACGGACACACACACACACACACACACACACACACACACACACACACACACACACACACACACACACACACACACACACACACACGCACGCACACACACACACAACACGGACACACACACATGCACATGCACACACATTCTCATTCTTTCTCCCTCCATCACAAGAAACTCACTCTGATCGGAGGGAGAGTTGGCTGACGGGTGCGGGTCCAGCGAGGCTGAGCTGGTGCAAGCGTGCAACCTCAGCAGCACCGCTCTGCCAAATCATTTCCCGCAGGTCGGTCTCAAAGTTCTTTGCCATTGTGGAGCGCTCGATGTTGTCGATGCGGAAGGACACCACGATTGCATCATTGTCGCGGTTGTTCACAAGATGAAGACCGCCCTCAAAGTGCGGCGAGTTCTGATTGGTTGGTTGGTTGGTTGGTTGGTTGGTTGGCGGCCATCGTTTGTGAATGCATGCAAGCAAGCAAGCATACATACGTGGGTGCATGAAACAACAGGTGAGCTTGAACGAATGACCATCTTCATATGCACACGCGAGAAAACACCTCTACCATCGGACACACATGTCAGCAGTGCAATCGTCATCTTCAGGCCCTGTACCGTGTATGCGACGCTGAGGCCGTAAAGAGGAACAACGCGCTTTGGCGTGTACTTGTGCTTGTGCTGCTTTGTCACAATGAGAAGGTCGTTGAAGAGGAACAACACGCGGGACTTGGCCACCTGCTTGTTCTTCGGCCGCATAAACCCTTCCACCTGCACGACAACATGTCAATCATGTAAATCATACATACATCATGCGTGTCAAGTGTGAGCAGTTCTCAGATACACGCAAGGGAAGAGTTTGTTTTTGGGGAAAGAGTGTGTTGACAATGACACAATCCCCCTTTCGGGTGTCGTGGACAGAAGCATGGTTGCAAAAAGCCGCGGCTGTTACTGACCGTTGTCACGTTGCATTGGGAGATAAATTGGCGGTGTGGTGCTGCTAAGTCCATGAACGACTTGCCGCTCATTTGGCTGTCGTGGATGGAGACCATCGGTACGAATCCACATCAGTGGCAAAAGGAACGTGAGTTGAATTCAATAACATGCATCCCGAGCACATGTTGGTAACAACTATCGACAGAACAGCGCACGCTATTGATTTGGTCACTTGTTCTCGGAACAAAAATACACGAGGGAGGATTGTAAGCAGGGCGTCATCAGACCTGACGATCCGCTCAATCATGGTCAGGTTGTCCGTGTCGGTGGTGAACTCCTGTTCTTCAATGCGGTCATAAATCTGAGCAGCAGTTATTTCACAGCGCGTGCGTTTGTGTGTGAAGGTTGAATGTGCAAGTGGGGTCGGAGCAACTCTCACAGCATTGACATGCAGGTGAAGAAAGAAATTGGCAGAGATACACGCTTACATACGTGCTTGGACACACTGATACGAAGACGTTCACACAAGGACATAAACACACGCACACGCATAGACGCAAACGCAAACACGCATAGACAACATGTCAACAACTAGACGTACGTCTGCAAGGAGCTGACGCGGAAGGTCTTTGCCGTCGTCGATGCCCCGGTTGTTGTGGATGAACCCATCACGCGTCATCTTTCGTCGGTTTGCTGAGTTGTGCAGGTCTGTGTTGAGCATGACGACGGAGAAGGCCAGGATGAACGACGTGTCCGGGTGCGAGAACACGTCCGGGTTGCAGTGGTGGTACTGCTGCGAAAACTCTTGCAGGATTCGCTCAATCTTCTGTGCCTGCAAGCAACAACATGCATGTTCATAGTAGATGAAGGATTTGGTTGTGAGTATTTGCGTTCGTCTTGCGCACTTCTAAGCTCTTTGTCAAGGACTGTTAGCAAGATCGAGACACAGAAGCACACACACACACACACACACACACCACACACACACACACACACACACACACACACACACACACACACACACACACACACTTGTAGTGTACCTCGCCGGGCAGGTGAAAGGTTCCGAGAAAGGTTCGCAGCGCCTTGTCAAAGACCACGCCGGAAAAGTCAAACGAGGCGACGTACTCCGCCAGCACCTGCAAGTTGAGAGCGTCTGCGTCGCCCAAGAATTCCCCGATTCGACGGCGATTTAACGTGCGCTCGTGACGGAGGAACTGTGCAATGTCCTTGGGGTTGCGTGCCAGGATGCCGTTGTCAATCAGCCAGGTCATGCCTGGCGTGGGTGGTGGCGGCGGCGGCGGCGGTGGTGGTGGGGGGGGGGTGGAAACAAACCAAGCGTTAAGCTGGGGTGGAAGCAAATGATGGGCATGGGAGCTGGATGTTGGATGTTGGTCTTCGTTTGTGTGTTGGTGTATGTTGGCTGAAATTGCATCATGCAAGCCCGCTAGTTGTGCATGCTCTGTCGTACTGTCTGTACGAAAACATTGGCAGCCGCAGAACTCACAGCACATCACATACACACGCGCACACGTACACACACACGCACACACACACACACACACACGTATGCACGTCCACACACAGACAGACAGACAGACAGACACACACACACACATACACAATACCTTTCTTAACGTTGCGGTTGAACTGGTAAACACCCAGTCTACACAGTCTGGTAAGCTGATCGCTGCTGTAGTCCTCGGCCTGTGGGGCCATCCAAGGATAGGTCGTGTTGCGGAAGCCGGCAGCATCATCCCCAACAAACGCTGAGATGACAAAGCAAAGGGCAAGGCAGAAGATGGAGGGGAGTGTGGTTGGGGTTAGGAAATTGTGTGGCAGTGTGTTCTTTGTTGCACAATGGGGGTTATGTGCTCATGTGTTAGTGATGGGAGATGCAACACCGTCTTGGCCAGACAAGCCGGCACCCACATGTAGTTGCCTGCAAGCACGCATGCAGGCACCCAACTCACCTTTCGCTGCTTGCAGCAGCATGAGCTGTTCGCGGCGCTTCTCAAGATCCTACATACACACAGAGCGAACACACAGACAAGTGGTGGTGCACATGCGCGTAAGTAGAATGCAACAACAACAACAACAACAACAACAACAACAACAACAACAACAACAACAACAACAACAACAACAACAACAACAACAACAACAACAACAACAACAACAACAACAACAACAACAGCACAACGGAGCCAGGCATGTGAGTGTATGATGGAAAGCTGTTGCGCTGTGGTAGTTGCGGTTGGGTGCGGGTGCAAGGGTGTGTCACAAGCGTGCAGGTGTCAGACAAGGAAGGAACATTTGGACGGACCAGGCTGGCTCGTGGAGATGGGGAGGACTCCATGGACTTGATGCGCTGCTGTATCGACTTGCGCATCGCCCTGCAACCGCACAACACGACAAGAGCAAGCATTGCAGCACGTGCACGTGAGCTAATGTGTATGCAAAGGTGTATCCATGCTCGAGTACGTCAGGGGGACTGATAGCAATGATGGAGTGCTGGAATGAGCACCGACGAAAAAGTCTCAAAACCCCCGGTTGTGGGACGAGAGCGGCTGAGTGTGAAGAGTGTATTCAGATGGTGGCGCCTGTCATCAGCAGCATTTAAACCTTGTTGCTGTGTTCTGCAGCGACTTACTTTCTCTTCATCTGCCTGAACTTCTTGTTGAGGGTGTATTGGCGCCAGTGTGCCTGAATGACACGTGCGGCCTGGTCGTACTTTGGGTCTGCGAATCTCTTCATGAGGGAGTGCTGCACCTTGTCTGCCAGTTCCTGCGAAACTTCAATTGTTGGCAGCTGCTTTGTCATCGCCTTGAGCGTGGCGTGCGACACAGACCCAGCTGTGGTGTTGTGTGCGTGTGTTGTGTGTGTGTGTGTGTGAGTGAGTGCGTGGGTGTGAGTGAGTGAGTGAGTGAGTGAGTGAGTGAGTGAGTGAGTGAGTGAGTGAGTGAGTGAGTGAGTGAGTGAGTGAGTGAGTGAGTGAGTGAGTGAGTGAGTGAGTGAGTGAGTGAGTGAGTGAGTGAGTGAGTGAGTGAGTGAGTGAGTGAGTGAGTGAGTGAGTGAGTGAGTGAGTGAGTGAGTGAGTGAGTGAGTGAGTGAGTGTGAGTGAGTGTGAGTGAGTGGGTGAGTGAGTGAGTGTGTGCATAATGGGTGAAAGTGCAAGTGATAACTCATCGCAAACGTGTGCAAGTGATACAGCCTGGCTGTGCTCTGTTTCCTCTTCACGACAATGTGCTTCTCGTGTGTCATCGCAAAGCTTCAAGATCATCATCACGCTTACAGCGAGCGCGGCGGGATGATTGGCGTTGGTTGAAGCTGGTGTCCTGTTGCGTATACACGTCCTCGCTGGAGCCAGCGCGTCGCAGTGAAGTCGTTGGACTACTGCGCGAAGATGTTCTTGCCTGTGCATCGTGGTTTGCGATTGGTGAGGATGCCGAGGAGGCCAGCAAGCAGACAAGATGGTCCACCAAGCACGCGCTCAATGATGAGCGCAATCGTGGACACAACAACAGCAAGTGCAATAAACCTACACACGCACACGCACAGACACAGACACAGACACACAGACACACACATTCACACGCACAAACAAATACACAGACACAGACACACACATTCACACACATGCACACATGCGCACACACATGCGCACACACGCACGCACCGGTTGTGGCCGTTGTGTGTGTCGGATAATGGTGGCGGGAGGCATTCCCCCTCCACTTGCTTTGGCAATCAAGCTGAGCGGCGTCTCTGCACGAGCGGAGGGTGTGCTGGCGCCAGATGAACGCGGTGTTTGAGCATCGTGGTGCGTGCTGGCGATTGGAGATGTTGGAGATGTCAGCGCGACCGTGTGCAATGGGGTGAACGTGCGGCTATTTCTGGCCGGCTTTGGTGCCACTTCTGGGGAAGGTCTTCTGGGTCGCTCGGTTGCGATGGCTGTGGGTCTGAGAGCAAGCTGTGGCGGTGTGGCACCACGCTGTTGCTGTTGCTGTTGCTGTTGCTGTTGCTGTTGCTGTTGCTGTTGCTGTTGCTGCAGTTGCTGTGCGAGGTTCTTCTCTCGCGTTTGCAGTGAGCTCACCTGCGAAGCAACAATAGTAGAAAGAGCCGAAAAACAAAGGGGAAGTGAAACCCAACAGGACACGTGAATCCGGCGTGAATACGGCGTGTGTTCAACGACGGCAAGGAGGACAAGAGCAAAACCAACTGTAGTTGTGTGGCATATGGCTTCACACTGCTCTGCCGTGTCAACGCAACCGCACGCTTTGAGCCAGTCTCTCCCATGACACACACACACACACACCTGGCGGCGCAGCTTCTTGTTGTCGTGTCTGAGTTGGTAGATGTAGCTGACCAGCTCTGCCCTGGAAGCGAGCTTGAGCCAGGTGTCCTCGTCATCGGTGCTGCTGCTGCCACCGATGCCTCCAACCACGATGTTGGGCGCACCTGTGCCCTCCATCTCAAACCTTGCTTCAGGAGGGTTGCTTTGCCTTGCTGTCGTGGATGCGTGCGTGGATGCGTGTGTTTGTGTGCGCAGCGCTGTGTGTGTGTGTGTGTGTGTGTGTGTGTGTGTGTGTGTTTCGACTGTCGTTTTGCCACTTCCTCTTGCTTGAATGGGAGGGCTGGTCGCGGTGAGTGTCGGCGAGCCTGTGTACACGGCGAGGCAAGCAAGCAAGCAAGCAAGAAAGCGGCGCTGTTCCTTGTTGTTTGGTTCCTTGGTTGTTTGGTTGGTTGTGGTCGTGTGGTTGGTGGTTGCTCACACACACACACTCTCCCTCGCACTGCATTCATTCATTCCCCTACTCCAACTTGCCCTTGCCTTGGCGCTGCGTGCCTTTCGTTTTGGTTGGAATGCGGAAAGGCAGGCGCCAACGTTTGCCAACGCCACCTGACAAAACACACAGGTAGGAGTTGCATCGTCACGGCAAATTCCTGACGAAATACTTCGCCACCAAAAACGCCACTGACCAAACACACACACGACAAGCACAACAAGCAACCACAACAAACGCCAAAACGCTGCTGCTGCGACCAACACACACACCAACGGTGACTGTCAAAGAAGCAAGGCACAGGCAATGAGGGTGCACACGGACCAAACATGGAAAGCGCGCACTCCGCGCATTCCAGAACCAAACACAGACAACACACGCAGCACACATGACGACGTCACACACACGACAACCACCAAGAAGAGCATAAACCACACGCACGCACACGCACGCACGCACGCACGCACGCACGCACGCACGCAGGACCACGAAGAGCCAGACAAGAAAAAGAAGAAGCAAGCAGAGAACAAACCCCCAACTCATCCAAGTCTGTCTGTCTGTCTGTCTGTTGGACGACCTGCATTCATCCAACCAACCACACATCGACATCCCTTCCCTTCAACAACAACAACAACAACAACAACAACAACAACAACAACAACAACAACAACAACAACAACAACAACAACAACAACAACAACAACAACAACAACAACAACAACAACAACAACAACACCAACAACAAGGCGAGCAACGAGACCAGTCAGCAAGTGCAACCAGCAAAAAGACCAGTCAGCAAGTGCAACCAGCAAAACCAACAAGAACCAGCAACACCCTCACACACCCTCCCCCGTCCCCCCTCCCCCAAGCCAACCATGTCGCAGCAAGGCGTGTCTTCGTACAGTGAGGCTGTTCGCCAGCTCATGAACGTGTGTGCCCATACGGCAAAAGCCACCCGTCTCATGCGCAAGCTCTGCCAAGGAAACCTGCTCGGTCTCGAGCACGCCACCAAGATCCAGTACATCTCCCGCTCCGGCGAGTGGGCCGAGAAGGTGTACAAGAGCCTCAGCCACAAGGGCGGGCAGCAGGCCTCGCACCCCGTCGTCGTTGGCATCCTCCTTGCCAGCGAGCAGGACTACAAGCAGGCCCTGCAGACGCTGGCAGGCCCGCACGTCAGCATCATCGCCGCCATCAAGTACAACGCCCACGTCATCACCACCACCAAGTCCATCAAGCGCGGCGAGTCCACAAACGCCATCCTCAACAACGCCCTGCGCGCCGTCAACTGCGTCAACGCCATCTGGTACACCATGACCCACATCACGGAGTTCCTCTGGGACATTGCCCGCTTCCTCCCCGAGGGCGACCGCGCACGCGAGGACCTGCTCCAGCTGCGCAAGCGCATCAGCGCCGCCGTCGCCACCGCAGAGGACTTCTCCACCAACTCCAGGCTCCTCGTTGCACAGGAGTGCATCACAAAGCGCCTGGTCGTGCCATCCTCCAAGCAGTTCCGCGGCATCACCCCGGACGTCGTCACAGAGGCAGGCCCCGTGATCCGCAGCGAGGTCGTCTTCAAGCACAAGTGCAAGACCCTCAGCAAGATCAGCAAGCACCAGCCGCTGCGCCTGTCCATCTTTGGCAACGTCGTTGTCCTCACCGTCTCCAAGCTCAGCTCAGAGACGCTCGCCGTGCCACCACGCGCTCTCTCCGAGGTCACTGCGCAGATCCTGCCCTCCCTCCCCGACAACGTGTTCCGCCTCACCCTGGGGCCAAAGTCACACGTGACCCTGCGCTGCAAGATGGCTGCGCACCGCGATGTGTGGGTCAACTTCTTCAACGACTCTGCTGCCGAGGATCTCCACACGCTCTACGAGAAACGCGAGGCGTTCCACCAGCAGCTCGCCCGCCCGGCACACCCAAAGCGTGAGTACAAGCTACGTGTGTGTGTGTGTGTTTGTGTGTGTGTGTGTTTGTTTGTGTGTGTTTGTGTGTGTTTGTTAATGTGTGTGTGTGTTTGTGTGTTTGTGTTGGTGTGTGTTTGTGTGTGTGTGTGTGTTTGTGTGTGTGTTTGTGTGCGTGTGTGTGTGTGCGTGTGTGTGTGTGTCTGCACATGTACTTGATACGTATGCGCATGTGCGTGTGCGTGCAAATGCACTCGTTCGACCGCGCCATTTCTGCTTCATGTAAATCGTTGGTGCATCGCAGTCAAGCACGCCCCCTTGCTTGGCCATGCCATCTTCGTTACTCACCCAAATCTGCCCAACCGCCACGCATTCCTTCTCTTCCCAAACACACGTTTCCTCCATGCACCTGTCTGTCAACAGTGGCTCAGCGCCCGTCCATGGCAGAGCTGTCGCTCTTCAACGAAACGCGCAAGACAACAGCGCCCGGAGCGCAGGCGTGGGGCCTTGAGCAAGACCTACTTGAGGAAGAGGACTCAGAGCCCCAAACTAAGACCCTCACAGAACTCTTGGAGCGTGGCATGGACTCCAGCATCGGTGAGCACCTTTCGAATGGCCGCTCAATGATCCCCCCCCCCCACACACACACATTCTCACACACATTCTCACACACACGCACAATCGCAAAGACAGAGTTGCTCAAACACACTGCCGAGCTGCTCTTCTGCATCACAGCTTCACATGCTCAGCCACACGCTGCCTCGTATCGCTGCATTCCCAACTCCCAACTCACGCGAATCCACCCATCCCTTGTTTCTCAATCCACCTGTCCCACCCCCCTCACCTCAAACCAATAGCCAAGGATGTTGTCCAGCCTTGCTCGCTGCCCAGCAGCCGTTGCGCCAGCCCCATGATGCGCACTACTTCCCCAAGCGCGACATCATCAGCAGCCACGGACCGCTACACGCCCACATTCGTCACCGGCGCGCGTGACACCACCGCCAGCCCACTTCCAATTGGTGGCCGCTCTGGCACGCCTGCTCGCATGTCGTCGGCAACACCAACGCCCTCGCCAATGTCCACATCCGTGACGACAGCGGCCACAAGCACGCGCGCCACGCCGCTTGCCACATCCGTCAGCGCACCCGCCACAACACAGAGCCCCGTGCCCATCGGCGTTGCTGGTGTTGCTGGTGGTGTGGACAGCGAGGATCCCGACCTCGCACGTGCGCTCGCAGAATCTCTCATGACACACGAGCAAGAGGTGACAGCAATGAACCAGCAGGAGCAGCGCGATGTGGAGAAGGCCATCAACCTGTCGCAGTGGGAGACCTTTGAGAGCCACGAGCCAGCAGCATCTGCTACACAGGGTAGCAGCAGCAGCAGCCACGTTGCGCTGTCCCACAGCACGAGCCCATGCAACGACCCCTGGCAGGCACCCGTGTGGATGAAGCTCAACGATACTGCATCACCAGCCCTTGCTGCTCCCGCTGCAACAACAGCGCCCAAGGACAAGAAGACATCCGACCCCTTCCGCACCGTGACGTCGTTCAGCGCGGAGCGCAGCGATGCGTGTGTGGCCAAGACGGAAAAGGCACCTGTTGCCATGGCAGCGCCCAGCGCAAACACACGCCCTGTCGTCAACGCAACAACAGCAGAGCCGTCCAGCACCACCGCAGCGGCAACAAAGCAGCAGGTCAACACCACTGAGGACGAGACAGCAGCAGACAGCTCCTCTCATCGCATTGCTCGCCGCATCATTCCCGTCAAGCCCATTCGTCAAACGTCAGACTTCCTTTGCTTGAGCAAGGAAGAGGGTGAACACTGAACAAGGATGAATGAGAACTGAGGGGTGTTCATGTGTGTGTGTGTGGTGCGTGCCATGGTGAGCACGGAGGTATTGGCCATGTGGGTTCCATGAACATGCATGTTCTCGGTGATTGTGCAATTGCATGACTGTGTTTCCCTTCGTTGTGCTTGCGAGAGGTGGTGGCTGAGCGATGATGTGTTGAGTGAGGAGCGACTTGGTCATGATTGGTTGAGTTGTGTTCATTGAGTTGAAATTCCTGCAGACTGACTGAGTAAACACCAATCCAACAAAACAGCCAACGTGGCCTCACAAGGCACATGGAACGAACACCCAAGGAACGAACAGCACTTGGCGCGCTAGTTTCTGAGGTGGTCAAGTCACACACACACACACGGCCACAATCCATTATTTGTACAGCAGAGAAAGACGACGAAGGAAGAGGACGCGGTTGCGCTCCAACACGGACAAAAGCAACACAAGCAATGTCCAGTACAACGAACAAAGAAAAAGGAAAGGGAAAGGGAAGGGGCCAACACACACACACATACACACACACACACACACACACACACACACACACACACACACACACACACACACAGAGAGACATATGGGAGTTCAGCTGTAAAAAGAAAAACAGGGCGCGCTATTGCCTGCTTCACGACCAGGCAGTCGTGGGATCCTTGCCTTCGTGAAAGAGCTGTGACATGACCGAGAAGAGCTCAACCACTTTGTTCATATCTGGCCTTGCCTCCGGTGGGATGTGGTCGTGTTCTTGAACGGCCCCGTTCATGCCATACCCACGCATGGGCGTGCTACCATTGCCAGCACCACCACTGGCTGCAGCAGCTGTTGTTCCCTCATCCTGCGGCGACTGCAAGTGCGACACGTACTCCTTTGAGTATGCAACACCTGCAGCGGGCGGTTCGTGCGAGGGCCGACCAGCATCCCCATACACGCGCTGCAGCACAGACGACGCGGCCATCGCGGCTTGTCGCTGCTGCAGCTCTTGTTGTTGCTGCTGATGCTTCTGCTGTTGCTGCTGTTCGTGCTGTTCTTGTTGCTGCTGGGCCTGGTGTGCGGCTGTGTGTTCCTGTGCGAGCGGGTGCGAGGGCGTTGCCGGCCGCTGCGGAGTGCTGGTTCCGCTGGTTGAGACACAAGAACGCGGCGCACATGCAATGAAACGGATGTGGCGTGTCAGGCAGTCAGAGCAGAGCGTAAGTGAGGAGCGTTTGAAGGCGGGGAAGCGGGAGTGGGAATGGAAAGGATCACGCATGTGTCTACGCGTAGATGTGTGCTCGGGCACAGCAGCACAGCAGCAACTTGGGGAGGGGGATAAGGACACGGGCCAGCATGTTCACAGGCAGAAAAAGCAAGGAGGGTTATTGTGCAGCCTACCGTTTGGCTTCTCTTCGTTGCAGGTTCTGCTCAACAGCAGACATACAGGGTGGGGAGAATGAAAGAGATGGGATGTGTGAGGTTGGTTCTCATGAAGCCGGCATCAATACGCAAAGGCAGAGAGACAGACACAGATGTACAGAAACGAACGGGCAGGCGGGCAGACAGAGGCGGTCATGAAGAGGGAAACAGACACAACAAAGCATACATATCAGACAGTGACGGGCCATTGCATAAGGCGAAAGTCACCCAAGACGACACGTACCACAGCTGCGCGGTGGTTGAAGGCGTCGCGGTCTGCATCTGACAGGGCATTCCACGCGCGTGTGATGTCTGATGTGCGGAGACGGATTGTCGGATCCACAGACCGCACGCGCCGCCGCTCCTCTGGTAAGCGCGCGCACACGCATGTGGAGGGTTGCATGCAAACGTTGATTGAGTACACGGGCTCGGCAGAGAAAACGAGCAAGGCGGCAAGCAATTTCGCACACACACACACACACACACACACACACACCAACCTCTGCTGAAGAGGCCATAGCCTGAGATGACATATTTCGTGGCCTGCGAGGTGAACGGCTTGCTTGATTCGCGCGCTTCCTTCGCCTTGCCGAGCGGACTTTGTGGAGGCAGTGGCCTCCAGCCAGAAACCTGGCTGTCACGCTTAGCACGCTTGGCCTGTGGACTCTCGTCCTCCCCTCCCTCCTCTTCTCCTTCTTCGTCCGCCTCCTCCTCATCTTCAGCATCATCACCCATAGTGGACGATGTGTCCGCTTCGCCTGCCGCGCGGGCGCTGCCTCCCTTGACGCGCGGCGACGCCGCGTCCCGCTCTGCTGATGCACGTGCTGCGCTCGCTTCCTCCTCTCGCTCGGCACGACGCTTCACTCCTCTCGCTTCCGCCTCCTCTTCCGCTGCTGCCGCCGCTGATGCGCCTTCATCCTCTGCCTCGGCAGCGGGCGGCTTCACCACAACACGCGGTCCACCTTGCTTTGGCATCTGCCACGACGTGAGCCGCGTGTGAAGGTGGGTGTGAGTAACTCAAGTATAATGCCAAGCACGAGTGCAAGCCATGCACAATACGCACACGCGCGCAACCACACCCACCCACACACACACACACACACACACCCACACCCACACCCACACCCACACACACACACACACACACCTTCATCAACACGATGGGCTGTGACGGTTTCGCATACTCCTCCAATGTCTCAAGCGAGTACGTCGGCGCTCCCTGGAACCACGCGGGCATGTGTGTGCGTGCGCGTGCAGTTGTGTAAGTGTGAGAGCGATACAATTCATGTTGTGGGTACGGTAGAGATGGCTCAATGAGATGACACTGACACCAACAGACACAGGCGCGTGCGCGTGCGTGTGCGCGAGAGTGCGTGTTTAAACGCGAGTGGGTCACCTGCTGAGGGGTGATGGCAGCTGTGGCCTCCTCGTAATCTGCGTGGCACAGATACGTGTCGGAAGAGCTCACGGGGAGCGAAACATGGTGCTGGTAGTCCTGCACCGCACCAACAAAGAAAAGGGGTGGGGGATGGGTGGGAGTGAGACATTGACAAAAGGAAGCGGAAGAGAAAGGGGAAACGAGGGTGGGCATTGTCGAGGAAGTGCTTTTTGAATGTGGGTTGGAAGATCTGTACAGATTGACAAATGCACACACATACGTACATAAATTGATTCACATGCACACACGCACTCGGACCTTCTTGTTGAAGACGCAACACTTGCCGATGATGCGCACAGCACTGATTTCCTCTGTCGCGCTGTTGATGCGATAATGGCACGAGCGAGCTTGTGGTGAGATGGCGCTCGAGGCGAGACAAGGGATTGTAAGAACACAGAATGATCGCAAAGGGACGAGAACGTGTGTATGTATGTTTGTGTGTGTGTGTGTGTGCGTGTGTGTGCGTGTGTGTGTGTGTGTGTGCGTGTGTGTGCGTGTGCGTGCGTGCGTGCGTGCGTGTGTGCGAAGGTGCCAATACGCACTCGCTTCTGAGGAGTTCATGGTTGTAAAAGGCGTGCGGCTTTGTGAGGATGGTGTTGGCCGGAATGCGGAACCGTTCTCCTGCGCCGCCCAGGGAAACATCATGGTGATGATGACGTGTGAGTTTGGAATGGAAGAAATCAAAGCAGTGGCAGCAGCAGCGCTGAGAAGGCTGCAGGAAGCACTACAATAGACATGACAGTATGCCCAGGATTGCATACCACAGGGCAGGAAAGCACAGCACAACTTCTTCTCCTCCTCCTCCTCCTTCTTCTTCTTGAACAAGCGAACCTTCGAATGTTGGCTCGTGGTGCTGGTCAGTCCAGATGGACAGGATGCGGAAGACGGCAATATTGTCGTTCCGCCTCTCCACATACACAAAGTCATCAATATCCAACCGCCGCTCAGAGAGATAAAACGTCTAGCGGTGGTGGTGGTGGTGGTTGGGCAAAGGAACAGGGACAGGGGAGGACAGGTACGTAGGACGGTGGATATGAGGGGCGAGACAATGAGCGGGGTGTGTGCGTGCATGTGATGATGCGAAAGCGGTGGTTGGCTGTCACGGAGAGGAGCACGTGCTTGCCCTCATTGCAGCGACATGCGTCACAGATCATGCGCACCTTGTAGAACGTCTGCGCCGGGTCGGGCTGCGATTCAAGCTGCACGTTTCGCTCATCCAAGTCAACTACACATTGGCAACAGCACGTGAGGGGCAATGTGAGCGCAGTGCGTGCATGTGTGTGTTGGGCGCGCGTGTGTGAAGCGTGTATGAGGAGGCGAGCACACATGTGTCAGAGTGTTGCTTACGTCGCGGCCGGGCCTCCTGTTGTGCCTGGTACTCGTCGAAGAAGATGGACTTGACTTTCGGAATAGAAGACAGCGGAATCGGCTTCCGCGGCGTCAAAAACTCCTGTGTGTATGAAAGAGAGAGAGAGAGAGTGTGTGTGTGTGTGTGCGTGTGCGTGCGTGTGTGTGTGTGTGTGTGTGTTGAGGCAGTGGTTAGTGCGGAAGCACAACAGCATTTATCGTGTTAACTGATATGATACTGTAGTTTGAGGCGCAACTAGTACACAGACCAACAGGCCAACAGACCAACAGGCCAACAGACCACAGACCACAGGGCAACACCACCCCCCTCCCCCAAGAGGCGACCTACCGGGTGCTGTGGCTTGTTCCACAGCTTGATGGGCTTGATGCTCTTTGCGTTTGGACTGTACCGCGACTCGACAAGGAAGACGTCCTTGGGCGAAAACCCGTGCACGTCGTTCTTCGCAAAGTCGCGAACCTGGCAACGCATCATGGAGGGTGGTGATGGTGGTGTTGGTGTTGGTGATGATGTTGCCGCGCGTACGTGTCGTGGATGTGCACAAGTGTGATGAGTGGGCACTGAAAGTGCGTCGACGCGAGAGTCAAACAGGAAATGTGTTCGTGTGTTTGGGTGTTCATGGGTCAATGATCGATGACAGGAGCACAGAGCGGTTTCCGCGCGATCACATGCACACACACACACACACACACACACTCAATTGCGCACAGCAGACGCATATTCACACGTACGTAAAGGACGAGGCACTTTCGCAAAACGTGTCGCAGAGGATGCACATAGCGATCGGGCGCAACGAGAACCTGATACCATGCACACATGTATGCATATATGTCCGCACGCACATGAACACAGAGAAACATGTACACACGTCACGACCATCATCAGCATTTTCTTGGGTACAGCGCAGGCAGGCACGCTGTTGCAAAATGTTGACTCAAGGGGCACAGTGCATGCCCACTTCCTGTGCATGCAAGACGCAGGCACGCAACAATGCACGCACGCACCTCGTTCTCAAAGAATGTGCGCGTGGGGACGTGGAAGGTTTCCTCGGGCCGATAGAAGTATGTCACGCTGCACCCAGGTTGAACACAAGGGGTAAGAGTATACAAACATGTGAATGCACGCACTTGTGTGAGTTTGTTTGTTGATTTGTCGACGTGTGTGAGTGAGTGGGGGGGGGGTGTGCGCGCGCCACACACACACACACACATGCAGCGTGGAACCGTGTGTGAGAACATCAAGAAAAAACGCACTTGACAAAGGTGTTGCCGTCCTTGTCCTTCCACACTTTCTCCACCAACGCGACGTGCGGCGCTGACGGCTTGCTCCTAATCAACACACACGCACACATACACACACACACACACACACACACACACACAACCATAAAAGGGTGAGAAAGGGCAGACGCACACATGCACGTGTGTTTGCGGTCACCCCCAAAAACGCGCATACACACACACTTACGCACACGCACACACGCACACACACATTTACGCACGCACACTTACACACACACACATACATAAACAAAGACGTATGCAAGGAAACGAACTGGTTGTAGACGAGGACGTAGTCGTTGGCTTTGACAGTCTTCCCCGCGCTCACGGTGACACTTGCACTGTCACCACCACTCCCCTCCTTCGCCTTCGCCTCCGTTGCCGTTGCCTCATCTTCTTCGTTCTTCTTGTCATTGTCCTCCTCTGCCGCTTTGCCAGCAGCACCGGCAGTGGTGGTGGGGATGGCTGCCTCGCCAAGCTCCTCTGCCACCTCGCTCTCCTCCAGCGATTCCACGGGCATCACAGACAGCACCTGTTGTTTTGATGGTGGTGGTGGTGATGATGACGTGAGGTTCAGTGGTTTGACAGAGAGAAAATATACACACGTACACACACGTGCACACACGTACACACACACGTAAATACACGTACACACACGAACACACGAACACGCACGTACACACACACACACACACACACACACACAGCCTGTCCCTGTCTCATGCACCAACTGACGTCTGCCTGCTCCTGTTCAAACTCGGCGACCATGGACTCGTAGGTGAAGTTGAGTGCTGGCGACACGACGTTGTGCGACGTGCACACCTGCAATGACATATGGACAGCAAGCACATGTCAACGTGAGGTTGTATGTTTGAGCGCGCGTGCGTGTGTTTGCATGGCGGGTGTCACGAAGGTTCCAGGTGTTCCAAGCAGGAGTGACAACAGCATTGAGCGACTCACCTCGTGCAGGTGTTGCACAAACAGCTTCTCAAGCTCAAGCGAGTCCTTCAGCACCTGAACCAAGGGGAATCAAGCATCAACATACGCCACAGCCAGGTTACGCGCCAGAACACCACAAGGTCAACCACCAGCACCACCACCAAAGCTATCACGACAATCACCACCACCGCCACCACCACCACTACTTGAAAGCACAGCGATCCTTCCCCCCCCCCTCCGCTGGCTTGTCCTTCCATGGCGTCACCTGAGTGCCGGGCTCGTTGAAGAGGCGGGCGTTGCGGAAGAGAAGCTTAAAGTCGTCAACGAGACCAGCAAGCGTGTCGTACTTGCAGCCAAGCAGTCGAGTGTGGATGGTGCACAGCGCAATGGGCTTCTCGATCAGCCGGTAGTAATCCTGCATGGTTTGTGTTGTGGAGGTTGGTGAGGGAGTGATGTTGGTGTTGATGAGGGGTGAGGGCGCAAAGCATGTCCTTCGACATTAGCAAACGAAGACACAAGATGCAAACGACTTCTCACCAAACAACGAACAAACACAAGAAACTCGTTGCAGCATCAACACCAGCGGGTTGCACCAGCATCGCTATCCACGCCCGCACCACTCGCCAGCGATCACCAACCTCAATCTCAACGGGGTCTGGCAGCGACCAGAACTCGTCGGTGAGCGCTTTCCTCCCGCGCGCCTTTGCCTTTCGCAACGCCGTCAGCATCTGCAGTCCAATCACAGACAGCAGCGGCAGCGGCTTGAGCCCGGGACACTGCACGGCGATGGCCGGCGCGTAGCACTCGTTTGCGTCGCGCTGGAACCGCGCATGCAGCGCCTGTGCGTATGTGTGTGTGTGTGGATAAATATGCGCGTATGAATGTGTGAGCGTGTTAATGTCTGTACGTGTGAATGTGTGAGCGTGTTAAGGTGTGTACGTGTGAACATTTTGTGCACGCACGAGCGTGAAAAAGTGCAAGCGCGTGTATGTTCGTGACTGCCAGTTTGTGAGCAAATGTGGTCTAAACCGTAGGCGGGCGGACGTGTGACCCTCAACCGAGCGCACACCATCGTGCCACGTGCAGCGCACACCTTTGCATCGTCGACAATCTCCGTGCCCTCCTGGTTGTACACCTGCGCGTTGAGGAACACGCGGCACACGTAGTTGACAAACTCGACATCGTCTGAGGCCTGCGTGGACGTGCGGTGCGCTGTGATCATCTTGTAGGCGTCGGCTAGGCAGGCGGGCTCGGCGATGGTGTTGTAGTAGTCCGCATACAGCTGCAGTGCAGGCGTGGGAGGAGGCGGTGAGAAGGGGAGAGGGAACATGTTGTGCAAGCAGGTGTTCGTGGGTATGTGAACGAGTAAGTATATCAGCATGAACAACAAACGGGGAAGTGAGCACTATCGCCATGGCACACACACACACACACACACACACACACACACACACACACACACACACACACACACACACATAGAGACACACAATAATTATCACCCACCTCACGACTCGGCAGTTCCACAAACGGGTCTGCAAGCAGTTCGCTGTTGGCGTTTGTGTGGTGCAGCAGCCGCGCCAGCAAATACTGTAGAGGCGCAACAAGGGCGTGTTGGCGTGGTGGTAGCGAATGAGCGAAATCGGAACACGCACGACGCCATGCATTGTGCGACTGGTCTTGTGAATACCCAACGACGTTGCGCGCGTGTGTGTGTGTTGCCTTTGTGTGTGTGTGTGTGTGTGTGTGTGTGTGTGTGTGTGTGTGTGTGTGTGTGTGTGCGTGCGTGTGTGTGCATAGAGATACATGTGTGCGCGCGCCTGTGTACGCATGCTTGTGCGCGTGTGCGGGTGCATGGAGGTGGCGTGCTCACCTTGCGGACAGTGTGGCCCTTGTTCTCTGCCGGCCGCTGTCCTGTCCCAAGAACATCCCGCAACGCATCCGCACTGCAGGCACAAGAGCACAAGAGCACACGAGCGCGCACAGGCATATACGCGTTTTGAATGGCGAATAAGCGCTCACAATGCGACTGCAAGTATCAGCAGCGCAGCCAGCACGCCACAGCAGTGCAGCACGCACTCACTCTCGAGGAAGGCTGTGTGAAGCCTTGGATGCCGACGTTGATGCTGCTGCCGGGGTTGAGGTCGAGGGCGTCTTTGTCTTCTCAGACGGGCGGCTGTTATTGCACACGCACGTGTGCGAGTGTGTGAGTGCGTGAGTGTGTGAGTGTGCGCGCGAAAGAACAAACATGTTTGTGGAGCTGAGTGAGAATGTGTTTGGCGTGAGCGTGAGCGGTGTCGGTGTGGTGCGAGTGCGGGCTTACCGCTGCGGCGTTTGTGTGTCCGGCGGTGGCGATTGGAGCGATTTGGCTGTCTTCTGCACGAGCTTCCACAGTACTTCCGCATCCTAATTTGGTGGAGGGGCGAGGCACAGGCGAGAGGCAGTGTGTGAGGAACAGCAAGGGAAGCAACAACCAATCAGCCAACCCAACCCCCCCCCGGCCGCACACACACACACCCGCACACGCACCCGCACCCGCACCCACACCCACACTTGCAAACACGCATTCGCCCAGAGCATGCAACGCACCTCGTAGACGTCTGAACCGGGCTCGTTGTACTCCTTTGCGTTGTCGAACATGAGCTTGAAGTCGGCAATGCACTGGTCAAGCGTCTTGTACTTGTGTGCCTTGAGCTTCGACTGCAGTGGCATGAACACAGGGTAATAGGAATGTGGTCAGCAGTGTGTCATCGCGGCACTTACAACCAAAGACAAGCAGACAACACGTCAAAATCTTTCAAAGTGTCCAAAGTGTCAGAATCACACGCGTGCCGACGGCAACGCTTGATGAGGCGCAAGCACGAGCACGGAACTGCTCCGTGGCACACCTTGATGTCGAGCAGGCAGATTGGCTTTGAGATGGTATCGTAGTACATGGGCGTGTCCTTGGGCGGAAGCTCAAGGAAGATCTGTGGTGCAGAGGGGTGCAGTGCCGCACGTGTGAGCAATGAGCCAACACGCGGCGAAGTAAACAGCTGACGAAGAAAAGCAACCAGACACCATACGCATGGGCTTAAACACCAAACATACGCGCACAGACACACGCGCAAATACACACAAGGACTCAAGCACGTTACATGATGTAGACTGCACACGCCGACAATCCCACATTCAACCCCTCTCCATCCCTTTCCTCCTCCCGATCCCCTTCGCCTTGCGCAGCAGCACCTCTGAGAGCTGTCGCTTCTCATCATCGTCGGATGTTGCATCGTGCACGGTGTCATAAACAAGTTTGCACTTGTCTTGCGTCGACAGCTTCTTTGCGGACTTCGCAGGCGTCGCGCTGCTGCTGCTGCTGCTGCTGCTGCCTCTGCCCTTGGACATCTTGAGCTTCAGCTGAACACGTACATGTGTGTGCATGTGTGTGCATGTGTGATGTGTGTGTGTGTGTGTGTGTTGGGGGTGGTACGCGTGAGTGTATGTGTGTGAGTGTGAGTGAGTGAATGCTGAGATTGAGCCATAATGAGCATTGAAGCGGGCAGCGTGCTGACACTGCTACTACATGAGACCCCCCCCCCACACACACACACACAAACACAGGCAGGCACACATGCCGTAGCTGCGGCACTACCTTAAGGTCTGGGGTGTGCTTGTCCTTGTCGGCCTGCTTGCCACTTAGCGTCTTGAGCTTAATCTTCAGCGACGCCTTTCCACCAGTCTCCTTTCCTTTCGGCCTATCCTTGCCAGGCGTCTTACTGGTCCCCTTGTCCTTGTCCTTCCCCCTGTCCTTCTCCCTGTCCTTCCCTGGCGTCTTTGTCTTGGCCTTGCTCTTGTCGCCCTCACCCGCCTTTGCGCGCTTGCTCGGCGGCGATTCGCTCGTCCGCGCCTCCCGCTTGACTGCAACGTCACGCAGCCGTGGCAATGGTGCACAGCACGTGTTGGCGGCGTGGTTGAGTTTTCGCATGCATTTGTTGTGTGTTGATGTGGTTTTGCACGTGCACGTGCGCGTGAATGCGCATGTGCGTGAGTGCATGCGTTTGTGTACGTGTGTGGAAGCGAACAACTTCCAACGAAAAACCCAAAATGATGAAACGGCAAACTTGCAAGCAGCACACTGACACTTGACTCTCGCACCTTTTGGCTCCGTCTTTGCAATCAGCCGCTCAATGGCGCGCTGCACAACGCCTTGCAGATACACCGCGTCCTTGTGGATTTGCGAGTCCTGCGCGGCGTGTGTGCATATTGGGGTGTTGTGTATGACATGTGGTGAGATAGGAAGTGAAGTCAGGCAGAGTACACGACGAGAAGGCACTTGCGCGTGTGTGCGTCAGGCACTACAAGCCAGCTCACACATACAGACACAGACACAGACACAGACACAGACACGCACGCACACGAGTCATTAGGTGCGAATATGACAGCGCAGGGCCACAGGGCAGACGGATTCACGCACGTCTTCGTTGAATGTCTTTGCGTTCTCGAACATGAGATCAAAGAGGTCGTGCAGCTGCTGCAGAGATGCCACTTTCCCGCGGCGGACGCGCTGACAGAACAGGAAGAACAAGAACAGGAAAAACAAGAAAAAAGGAGAGAGAGAGTGTGTGTGTGTATGTGTGTGGTGAGCTGGGTGATGGCGGGTGGCGCGCACAAGTCTTGGTCGGCACAAACCAAGCAATGACACGATCACATGGGCACCCACACACCTCCTGGATTGTGTTGATGTCCATTGGTTTGGAGATTACTTCGTAATATTCCGGCAGGTCCTTCCTGCTCACACATATGTGCATGGGTGGTGCGGGGTGAGTACGACGGCAACGAAATTGAAGGGCAAGCAAGGCGCGCAAACAGAAACACTCATATGCACCAACACAGAGCGCACGCACACACACACACACACACACACATGCACACAAACAGAGTACAGCGCGTACTTTGTTGGGAGCTCAAAGAACATGTCTGCAAGGCGTCTGTTGCCCTTTCGCGCCAACGTCCTGCAGAGAGAGAGTGTGTGTGTGTGCGCGAGGGGGGAGGTTGCAGCGCAGCAACACGCAGCAGGATGCATTCCGGTCAGAGAGAGAGAGAGAGAGAGAGAGAGAGAGAGAGAGAGAGAGAGAGAGAGAGACAGAGAGACAGAGACAGAGAGACAGAGAGACAGAGAGACAGACAGAGACAAGGACAAGGATATGCAGGCAGGCAGAATACGCGCGCACCCATGTGCACACATACACACACGCGCAGATGCACACTGCAAATCACACGAAAAGACACACAAATACACACAAATACACACAAATACACACAAATACACACACGCCGGCTGCACCACGTACACAGTCTTGATGACAGATTCGAATTCGCTGGCAAGGGACGACGGTTGAGCTGCTGACGCCGACGATGTTGATGACTTGGAGGCGCGTGTGCTGCCGGAGCCAGACTTCAATGCCGCTGCTGCTGTTGCTGCTGCTGATGATGATGATGATGACGATGACGATGGCTCAGCTGATGATGGCGTGGGTGCGGCGCTGTGGGCAGCAGCCTCTGCGCGGGCCTTGCCTGGACTCGACACTTCGTCGGCGCCAAGGCGCTTCGGCTTGCGTTGGCGCGAGCTTGTGCGCGTGGGTGTTGGCTTTGGGTTTGCGGGCACGGGGAGGTGCTTTTTGTCGGCGGTTGTTGGCGACCCGCCCTCCTTGATCAACGCAGACACAGCCGCCGCAATGGCCCGCTGCAGGATAACAGCGTCCGCGTACACCTGCACATGTTCGCGTGGTGTGTGTGTGTGTGTGTGTTTGCATGGAGGGTACAGCAGGACAGTGGAGCCACGTTAGAGTGATTTGAAGGCACACACACACACTCACTCACTCACTCACTCACGCACACACACACACGTGTTTGCATAGTTCGCGCACCTCTGACGCTGGGTCGTTGAATTCAAAAGCATTCTGGACCATGAGCTTGAGGTGTGCGTAGACATCACTGAAGCTGGTGTACCAACCCTTCTTGACACGCTGCTGAAGCATGGCCATGTCCACTGGCTTGGAGATGACATCGTAGTACACGGGCAACTCCTTCTTTGTCGGTAGCTTGTAGAAGACCTGCGTCAAGCACATGAGCGACAAACAGTGGCGTTGGTTGAGGTGTGGCTTCACGGACACAAGTGCATAGATGGGCAGGCAGGAAGCGGATCAACCACCCACCACACACACACACACACTGCTGGACACGTACATCGATGATATCACGGCCGTCTTCTTTGGTGGCGCAGATGTCATCCAAGAGCGCCGTGGCCCGCGCTGTAACACACGCAGGTGAATGCACACGTCAGCGGCACCATCGAGTAAACAAGCTGACGTTGTCCAACAGTCACCTGCCTAATCCTGCCAGCCTCCCTCCCTCATACACACACACACACACGCACGCTTCTCCAACCTACCTTTGGTGTATGGGATGTGCTTAAGCTTCTCTTCGTCCACATGCACGGGCTTCTTGCCTCGTGACGGTGTTGTCCTAGGCATGCTGCTTCTGTGCGTGTGCGTGTGCGTGTGCGTATGCGTGCGTGTGTGCGTGGCTAATCCCAGTGAGTCCTTCGGCTTGCCGTTCACTGTGGCCTGTGATGATGGCACAACAGCAACAACAACATGAACATGCAGGTGCGTGAGTGATGACGGCAGAGTGCACGCAGATTCGCGCGCGTGCGGAGTCCACTTGGTTATGTGAATCTACTTCAAGTCTGCCGCAGGTAAAAGCACACGCATTCTCTCTGTCTACCCGCGTTGATCCCGGTAACCGACACACGAACAACTCGAGTGCGTGGTGGTGTTGTGACGAGGACCAAGCGACCCATCAGAAAACCACAAAAAAGCGCGCCTCAATTTGTCATCATTGGATGGATGGATGGATGTGTTGTGATGTGACATGGATTTGATTCGGTTCACTGAACAACCATTCAGGCAGCATGCAGTAATGGCTTTGTGCTGCAGCGTGTGCGCGCGCGTGTGCATGCAGACTTACCCTTGAGGCTTGAGGTGCTGTGGCTTGGCCGCGCACTTGGATCACAATAAGGGCAACCCAGCAGCAAGCAAGCAAACACACCAAAGACTCTTTGGTTCGCGAGTTGGCGGGCGGGCTGGCCAGAAGAAGCAAAAGCAGAAGAAAAGGGGAAGAGGGGAAACGGCACACAAAACGGCAAAGGCAAAATTGACTTTGAGGGCGCCAAAAAAAGCATCAAGGCAAACTTGCCTTGAGGAGGGCAAGCAAGGAGAAGAAGTGAAGCAAAGATGAGGAGCGGTCGTGGTGGATGGCGGAGCGAGTTGGTGGACGCTGCTGTGCGGCGGCATGAACGACTGGCGACGCGGGTCTCTGTTGGCATGGTGGGCCACGCACAGGCACTGCATCGGCTGCTGCACCCTGCGCTGACCCACCTCGTCCAAATGGCAATCGATACAGTGGCTGCGGCAGAGGAAACCGCGCAAGCACTGGACGCTGCCGCAACAGCGGTTGGCGTTGAAAATCAGCCAACCTCGTCGTCCAACCAAACACGTCATCATGCAGAGCCAGGAGCTGAGGAGAGCTTGCCGCTGATGGTTGTTGCCCTGCGGGCCTTGCTTCGTGGCATTGGTGCCATGATCAGGGCGCTGCGCCGGCTGAGGGACCTCGTGGTGGCCCAACTCCACGCGGACGAGGAAGGGGAGGGCGTGGAATCAGCAGCAAACATGTCGTCTCCAACAGCAGAGCGGATACGGCCCGATGGCACCACATCTGCTTCGACCAACGCAGCACCACGAATCCTGTCAAGATTAGCCAGGCTACTCAGGCTGGTGCGTGCGCGACTGCGTCAGCTGCTGGCCAGCACCCTGCGGCGCGTCCTCGGCAGTGGCGTGCGTGATGGCAGCGTTGCCGAGTCGGCCGTGTCTGCTTCCCAGTATGCGTCGTTCCTCCTGTTTGCTGCCGATGTGGCAACCGTGCTTTACATGGGCTCGTTTCCAGAAGAGGTGTGTCTTGGCTTGAAACGACACCCGTTCTCCGAGCTGGCTCCAGTGGCGGCATCGTCTCTTCCGCGCCTCATGTCGGCGTGGCCCGCGCGAGCGTTGTCACCGCTCTACTCCGTGTGCAACCGCGCTGGTGACCGCGCCACCGCCGTTGCAGCTGCAGCATTTCGCGCGTGGCTGCGCACGTGGGAAGAGGACTCCCCAGTGCTTGCAGGCATCCGGGATGCGGTTGAGCTTGCGGCGCTCGTGGCCTCGGGGCTTCAGCTGCGGTCCTTCACGTCCGTTGACGCCATGCTCTTCTCTGCTGGCATCACAGATGCAGCCACCACCAGCATTGTCCAAGGCGGCCCCCCGCACGTGGCCAGTACTGCATCGTGGTCGGAGTCGGAGTCATCGAGGATGTCACTCACGGGAATGGACACAGCAGCCACCGCAACAACAACAGCAGCACCAGCAGCAACAACAACAGCAGCAACAACAACAACAACAAGCTCGCTATCGCCAGACGTCGCAGCCACCTCTGCAGTGGCCACGACAATGTCGCGGCAAGAGCTAGAGGCGTGGATTGCAGAGCAGCAGCGAGCACAGCTGCTGCAGTCATCTTCACCGGCCCGCCAGTTCCTCTCCATGGCGGCGTCCACCGTGTTTGCTGCTCTTCCGTCGCTTGCCATCAGTGCACTCCCGCGTATCGTGTCTTGGCTACAACAGCGACAAGACCAGCAGCAACAAAACGAAGGGGGCGGCGATGATGCTGCGTTGGGCGATGGAGGTGACGAGCACCACGACCGCCGGCCCTCGTTCCTCGGCGCCCTACTGGGCGTCACAGACGATGGTGATGACGATGATGATGGTGGTGGTGATGGTGGTGGTGGTGATGATGACGGTTATGATGGCGGGGCGGAGGGAAGTGGCCCTGGTCAGTCCGACAGCAGCGGAAGAGGAGGAGGTGGTGGTGGCGATGTTGATGAGGGACACCATCATGATGAGCATGACGACTGCATGCCCAGCCCGCATGCAACCGTGTGTCGAGCGGAGGTGTCCAAGGCGGCAGCTGTCATGAACCGCTGCGCGCTGTGTGAACGAGAGCCCGTGCGTGCGCCGTGTGTTGTACCGACGGCTGGGCTGATGTGCTGCTACGCGTGTGCTGTGCAAGCTGTGCGTGATGCCAACAACAGGTGCCCCTTCACGGGCCTCTCCCTCAACCCAAACACAGACCTCATTTCCCTCTACCAAGACGCCTTGTAGATGATTAGATGATGGATGGATCAACACTGCTTGCGTTGTGCATACATACATACATACTTTATTCAAAGAGCAAAGGGGTGAAATGGGGAGACGGGTGGGAGGGGGGGCATGGGAGGGTGTACGGGAAGTAGGGAGACAGGGGAGGGAGATAGAAGAGCGTGGAGAGGAACAAGCAAAGCAGCCCTGTCATGAGAGCACGCTGTCTTCATCCACAACAGCACAACAAACACGCAACACTTGCCCCCAAAACAAACAACAAAAAGCAGCGAAACGCTCTGGCATTTTCCGGACGTGGCCACGTCAGCACACACTGCGAGCAGGGACGATGGTGATGGTGATGATGCCGAGGAGAGGGTGCAGGAGCAGGATTGGAGGCGCGGCAGTGGTGGTGTTGGCGCTGTTGCTGGCGTGTGGTCTTGAAGGTGTGCGAGCGGATGCAAAGTGCCATACGTGCAAGTCGCTCGTGTCGCGGTTCGTCAAGGGCATGGACAGGACAAAGGCGGACGGCTTTGGCGGTGGCAACACCGACTGGGAGGAGAGGTCCCTTGGCGCATACGCCACAAGGTTGGCACATGTGGGTGTTTGTGGGGGGGGGGGGGAGCGGCGAGGGGAGGAGGAGGTAGGGAGGGAAGGAGAAGCAGAAGAGGCACCCATTGCTTGCACGGCTGCCTTTCGCTGCTGCCTTTCGCTGCTGCCTTTCGCTCCTGCTGTTGTTGTTTGCGTTTGCGCCACGTTCGCTCGCGGTAACCTTCCTCCTGCCCCCATGTATGGCGTGCATTGCCATTCTGTGCAGTGAGACGCGCTTGCAGGAGATTCTGGAGGACACGTGTGAATCGTCCAAAGACCACAGCTGCCATATGCAGCTGGAACAGGCAGAGGAGACCATTGAAGACTGGTGGTATGACAGGTGCGTCCTAGTGCATATGTGTATGTACGTGTTTATGATGTTCATTGGCGTGCGCGCTGGTGACTCAACTGACTGCTGTTTGCTGTTTACGCCTTGCACACTCGCACACTCGCACACTCACTCACTCACACACTCACTCACTCACACACACACTTACACACACACACACACACACTCACTCACTCACACACACACTTACACACTCACACACACACACACTCACTCACTCACACACACACACACACACTTACACACACACACACACTCACTCACTCACACACACACACACACACACACTCACTCACTCACTCACACACACACTCACTCACTCACTCACTCACTCACTCACACTCACACACACACACACACACACTCACTCACTCACACACACACACACACGTTGTAGAGATGTGACCAAGGATGGCGACGCGGAGGATACGCTGCGAGAGATGGTGTGCGAGAAAGCGCTGCGCGTATGCTGCCCGAACGGTCGGTACGGGCCCAAGTGCAAGCCGTGCCCTGGCGGCGCTGAGAACCCTTGCAGTGGACACGGGCGGTGCAAGGGAGAAGGGACCACAAGCGGCAGCGGCAAGTGCACGTGCCACACTGGCTACAAGGGCAAGAGCTGCAACAAGTGCAAGAAGGGCTTCTACGCCGTGGACGAAGCAAACGGCGATGAGGACAGCAGCAGCACCACAACCAATGCCATCACATGCCTCAAGTGCAACCCAGCTTGCACAGCCTGCACGGGCCCTGGCACCTCCTCCTGCACAAAGGTATCGCGTGCATATTGTGTATTCTGATTGTACGTCGTTTTGTGCTGCATAATGTGTGGTTGCGTGTGTTCATGTGATGATGATGATGATGATGATGATGATGATGATGAGGATGTGTGTGTGTGTGTGCGTGTGCGTGTATGCACTTGCGTGTCTTTGCTCCCTGTCTATCTGGCTTTTGCGCTACTCATCAAGCACGCCACTGATGGTGGCACCCCACCTCGTCTGCTCGATTGACACTTGCATTCACACACACACATTCATGTACACACATACTCACACACACACATTCATGTACACACACATACTCACACACACACACTCACACACACATGTACACACACACCCACACACGCACGCACATGCACACACACACACACACATCTCGTGCGCACCTTGTTTGCCCCCCCCCCTCCTCTCGTACGTGCAGTGCGCCGAGGGCTATGTGTACGAGGAAGGCAACGGGTGTGTGGACGTGGACGAGTGTGCAGCCGGGACGTTCAAGTGCGCAGGCGACCAGTACTGCCACAACACGCCGGGCAACTACACCTGCCGCTCGTGCCACGTTGCGTGTGATCGCATGCGTGGGTGCACTGGTGGAACTGCCTCCGACTGCCACGAGTGTGCACGCGGGCACCGCAGGGAGACGGAGGGCGACAGCACCGCCACCTGCGTGGATATCGATGAGTGCGCCGAGGGAATGAAGGTCTGCGAGACGGGCAAGTACTGTCGTAACGGGCCCGGCTGGTCTGAGTGCCGTGTGTGTCACGAGGCGTGCGATCCAAGCGCGGGCTGCGACGGTGCTGGGCCAGGCGCCTGCCGGGCGTGTGCTCCCGGTTACAGGATGAAGGGCGGCGATGGTGCTGGTTGCGCGGATGTTGACGAGTGCGAGGAGCAAGGCGATAGCGTGTGTGCGGAGGGGAATAAGGTTTGCACCAATACTCAAGGTTCCTTCGACTGTACTTGCCCTCAGGGCACACGCGAGGTACGTGCTGTGCGCATGCTTGTTTGCGTTGTGCGCGCGCGCGCGCGTGTGGGTGTGTGGGTGTGTGTGGGTGTGTGTGTGTGTGTGGGGGTGTGTGTGTGTGTGTGTGTGTGTGTGTGTGTGTGTGTGTGTGTGTGTGTGTGTGTGGGTGTGTGTGTGGGTGTGTGTGTGGGTGTGTGGGTGTGTGGGTGTGGGTGTGGGTGGAACGCAATGCCTCCTCGCTCACTGCCCGTCATGCCCACGTGATTTCCTTCAGGTTGATGGCGCATGTGTCGACGACAACGACTCGGAAGCGCAACAAGAGGGAGATGATAAGAAATCGCCAGGCCACGACGAGCTGTGACATGCCGCTGTGTGTGTGTGTGTGTGTGTGTGTGTGTGTGTGTGTCTGTGTCTGTGTAGGGTAAGTGACTAATGCCCGGGTATGCATAGGGCAACCCGAATCTGAGGGTCTAGGTAGAGACCTTTGAATGCACATCGATGGAACTGGCGAAGCAGGTGGGAAATCTCTCGCAACTCACCTGTTGCTTACGCAGCCCCTCACTCGCCAAGCTTCTGAGCTATTGATGTCCCGGGTGATGAGTTACCCACCTCTAAACACGTTTTCTTAAGACGGTATTCACGAGGTGTAGGTCTTAGCTTTCCCGTGGCGTGAAAGGTACATTAAGATCCCCGGGTCATGCGGCCAGCTACTGATAAGCTGGGGAGAGGAAAAATGCCGCTGTGTGTGTGTGTGTGTGTGTGTGTGTGTGTGTGTGTCTGTGTCTGTGTCTGTGTGTGTGTGTTTGTCTGTGTCTGTGTGTGTGTTTGTCTGTGTGTGTCTGTGCTGTACACAGTTTCTCTTCTCTGTTCTCTTCCCTTCCCCGTTTGCCTTGTCTGTTTCCTCTGGTTCTGTCTCACAACTGCTTGCCCCGCCTGCCATTTGTGATCAAGGTTTGAGCTTTGCACGATGTATGCATGTCGACAATGAAACAGCACGAAAGAAAAACAGCAGTGAAAACACAACGGAAATCACGGTCACGTAGAACATGCCAGCGCGCACACAAACACACACGCACACACGTGTACGTGTGGAACAACGCATGTGTTTGTGTGGTGGCAGAGCAAACCATGTAGGAGAACAAGCAACGGGCAAGAAAGACCAGCGGCCACAACAGCAACAAAGACCAAAGCACACGGCACGTGACAAGACATGACAATGATGGTAGACTGAGGCAGTCGTAGGGGCAAGGGCATGACGTGTATCACAGGACGATTTGCACATCACCACCACCAGCAGGTGAGCAAGCAACCGAGCAACAACGCAAGTACGTCCACATGCAGCATTGGCGTGAGCACGGGCGCGGGGCATCTGCAACAGCTACTGCATCTACTGCTCGTCCTCGGCAGTCTCGAGGGCCTTGTCCAGATCTGGTGCGTCGCACACACGACACACACGACACACACGACACACACGATACACACACACACACACACACACGACACACACAAACACGACACACACACATACGATACACACAAACACGATACACACATGGCATGGTATTGGAGAGGGGAAGGGGGTTGTGGACACGAGGAGGAGGTGAGTGGATGGAAGACAAAGGCACAGCGGCAGCAAGTGAACACAACAACAAAACGAGAAACCGCCAGCAGCGACACATTGACGACCAGCAGCACATGGTCTCCACTGACCAAGCTCCTCGCCAGTTGCGCGCTTGTAGACGTTGGCGACGTCGACGCAGGTCGTCTCAAAGTGGGACGTGGCGTCGTACGACTGACACATGCACACGAGGCAGGTTTGGTTGGTGGTGGGTAGCACGGTGAGTAGCACGCTCACGTTGTACAACAACACACAAAACTACACACAGACAGACACAAAATTACACACTCCCAAGCACACACTCCCAAGCACACAAAACTACACGTTCGCTCCCAGCGCACCTCTGTGATGAAGACGTTTGTGTCTGCGCCGTCGTCTGTTGGGACAAGAATGTCGTCGACGGAGACAAACTTCTCCAGGACGGGGCCAATGGTCTTGAACGCAACCTCAAGCTCGGCCTCGGGGTTGCCTGGCGGTGAGTGAGAGATGGTTGAGTGGCCATTTCGTGCCATTGCAAGGGGACGGAGATGAAAGCAACCGCGTGCACACACGCACGCACGCACACACACACACACACACACACACACACACACACACACACACACACACACACACACACACACACAAACACACACACACACAGACTCACACTCGCACCTCAAACCCTACCCCCCCTCTCTCTCACCCATGACAGCTGCCATCACGGCGCTTGTTCAACACACGGACAACCCTCGCTACATCTTGTCAAAGAGGAGAGTTCGAAGACAAGTGTTGTACGACTATGCCACGGTACGTGTGAGGCCTGGCTTCCACTTCCCCATGGCACACACACACACACACACACACAGGCATCCACATGCAACCACTCAGCCATCCACTTCACTCACCGTCTCCCTCTTCCCTCCCACGTCTTCACCTTGTAGGCAAAAAGTATTCCCGTCAAGGTCAAGGCGACGAAAGATGACATAATGGAGGCCCTTATTGAACACTGGTCACAAAATGCCATGGCCATGGAACAGCAACACCACCAACACCACCAACACCACCAATCGCCGCCGCACCAACCCCACCACCACCAACCGCAGCAACAGCCTGGCACTGCGTTGGCCGTTCCTTCGCAAGACACAGAGGTCGTCGCCTACGAGCAGGACCCGAACAACCTCGCACTCGTGCGTGTGTGTGCGCATGTGTGTGCGTGTGTGCATGTGTGTGCGTGTTATGAATGTGTCTGTTTGTGTGTCTGGGCAACTTTTTATCTCTGCGGCTCCGTATCTGCAACACTCGCACATGTCGTTCGTCCTCTGCTCACCTCTGTCAACACCAACTGCAGATGTTCTGCGAGGTGTTCTTCGG